TCATTACAAGGCATTTTCAAGGAATTTTAGGGGTTAGTTTTTCAAGCAGAATTAAAATATGTCATGCAGTTTGAACCTGTAGAGGATCTATGATTTATTTTATTTTATTTTTTTAAGGGGGAAGAAGGGTTAATTATAAGTCAGGGGTGCACATCCCTCCTCTCACTCCCCTCCCCAAGGTCGATGGTACATAAACCTCCTCCCTCCTTCCTCCCAAGATATTTTATTGTTCTCCTCTTCTTATAAACGCCGCAGGCTAAAGTTCTTACTTAAATATTTTTTTAAAAATCATAGCTCAAACACAATTAAACTTTGAGAGGTCTGCTCTATCCTTTCCTCTTGTCCCCTGGTTTGAAACTTTTTTTCAGAAAATTTATAACCCTGTTGAAATGTGCCTCCCCCATCCTCTCAAAAATTCAAAACCCTGCCAAAAAGTACCCCCCCCCCTCCACTCCACAAACATTTTGATGGCGCAACCCTTGCGCTATGAGATCCCCTTCTGGGCACCCCTGATAGCGGTCATTACTCTGAACGAAAAATAAAGAAACTATATTAAATTCTTAAATGATCTTGGAAGTCCTGCACAAAAATAAAATAAAAAGTATTAGCTATAGGAATAATAATGATTTTAAGCACAACTTGTTTACGTTTTCTTGACAATTGAGTAGCGCGCATATAACTTATAATTGAAAAGGAACAATTATTGTGATTGTTTTATTACTTAGCTTAGATCACTAACAAAAAAATGAACTGATGAAAAAAATATCTATTTTTATTTATTTTTTTTTTTTGGAGGGAGAGGTAGAGGGAGGTGTAGCTTCTCCCAATAGCTCCTCTCCTTCTGTGATTTGAACGAGATGTCAGGCCTCCAATTCCTCAAGGCATAAATCTGTTTCTTCACCTAATTTGTATTTGTCATGAAAAATCATTGATTAGTTGCAATAACATCAGTTCCAGTTACGTAAAAAAATAAAAAAAGAAATAGAATCAATAAACCCATATTTCAAAAAGAATTTCAAATCGTTTCAAAAAACAACCGGACGGCGTTTATGGTCGTTTCAGACGAACCCAGTCCTTCCCCAAGGTAGACTGGTCACATTCACCTAACCGTATGGGAGGAAACTTCTCTACCTCAAGGATTTAACATCGATTAGTGCATATTTTTAAACAAAAACAAAATGTATCTGAGAATTAGTGGCGCGAAATACGTATATTTAAACAAAATGTAATGATAAATAACAATTTCTAAGGGAATGTAGGTTCCAACTAGTATGCGTAGGATTAAGGTGGTGTTGATTAAGGTATGCATTCGATCCTCTCGACTTCCAAAGTCTCTCCTTTCAGTTTTTTTTTTATTTAAAACTGGATTTAATTATTTAATAAGAATAAAATGCATTAATTATATTAATAAAAAATCAAGAAGAACGCAACGTATTCTTTGATCGGTTACTGTCAAGAATGAAAATTGTGCTCTATTTGTTTATTTTTGGAATTTCTTTTTTTTTCTTTTAAAAAGATATTAATTCATAATTGTCACCTTATAATATATAATTAGGTATATGATCAATATATCGAAGATAAAATATATTCGGATATCTCCATGAAAGAAACATGTATATCATACACTGTATCTCACAGATGAAAATGCAGTTCTAACTGAAATTTTGATTAGCAGTTCCTCTTATATTGCATATGTGCGAAAAAGTTGGATTTGTGAATATTTGTACTATAAGTGGTTCAATTTTTTTTTTCAAAATCTTAAAAATAAAAATTGTTCTCCAAATAACATTAAAATTGTGTATCTAATGAGAAACGAAAGCTACTTACTCGAAAGATGATGGAATTATCTAAAAAAAAACCCTGCAAACTATTTCACAATGGTTTATTATTTTCAAACAATTATACATCTAAAGTAACATTACCTTCCGAGTTACAAAGAAAAAAAAACAAAAGGTGATTCCAATTATTGGACTAAACAATATCGACAAAAAATTAAAAACTTTTCGAGTTATTCGGAATTTAATTTTACCGTCCTTCGTAACTTTTTTCCAGCTTCTTTTCGTTGAAGTATGTTATATAGATAAATTTAAAGGGCGTCAAGAAAATGACTTTAGCGAAGTTTCATTGAAATCTGTACATTCGTTTAGGAGCTACAGTCTGTAGCAACGCAGGTTTTTCGGCCGCCATTTTGAAAGTTAAAGGCGGAGAGTAATGTCGATGAAGGAGGATCATCCTCGGGTGACCTCTGATTTTATATCAAAATTTGAAAAAAAAATTGGTTCTGTAGTTTCGGAGAAAATTCGCGGACGGCGGACAGACAAAAACAATTTTATTCGTTTTTCGAATTCTACGCGTCCTGAAACGTGAAACCTCAAATTTTGAGAGGGGGTTCAGTTTTTGAATTTTTTGGTCGATCACAATGGTTGATTATTGAAAATAATAAACCAATAAATCACAGCATCTAAAACTGACCAATATTACCAAGAGTAGAGCGTATTTTAATTTGAATCGTAGTTTTATTTACATATATCATTCCTAGAATTCGCTTCTAACTCTAAGTAACAGAAAGATGGATTTTATTGGCTAACTTTTAGACCCTTGATTCTCAAAAATGATAATATCTATGAAACTATTTTAATTGGTAGTTCTCTTTACACTGTTGATCGGGGGTCTCCAAACTAAAGCCCGCGAAGGTTTCTTGATAACATTATAAAATTATAAAAAATATGAAATTTAGTAAATAAGTCAAATAAAAAGTTACTAAAACGTTTACAGCAAGAATTGTTTCTCTTAGAAAGCTCAGTTTACTACTGAAGTGTCATTTATAGAACAAGCTAACTTTGTTCATCACAAGCCGTGGTCAGCGTGAGTTACTGGAGGTCTCAATGTTTTAGCGTATTTTAATTTAGGTCAAAATTGTATTCACTTATTTACCTAGAACCTTGTTAAAGTTATCCTGATCAGAGCTTAAGATCCTTATCAGGGTATATTTAAATTTAATTTTAATATTAAAAATATTTTAAAGCGAAGCTGCTATAGGAGCCAGTTATATTTTGAATTATCAAAGATATTCCCATAAATACTGAGAGGAAGTAGAAATACATTATAAAACTATTATTTTATGCCAAAATCTGGAGTTAGAGTACAAAAAAAGAGTTATTTAGTATTAATAATATTTTTTCTCGAAAAAATTAGTTAAATAACTAATTAGTTTTCTGTCATCAATATTATACTGAACTTTCTAAAGTCCACCTGCTCCTCAAAGCTTGTGAAATTCCAAATTATTAGTTGTAAAACTCCAAATTTCTGGATGGCTATATATAGTTCAACTATAAGCTTGGTAGCCATTAATTATTCGGCGGAGCTATGTAGTTAACGATCAAATACAAAAACAAATGGACCCACTAGACAGCAATAAACAGATGTAACCTACGACATTTCAATATTATAATTATTCGACAGCTGTACAAGTTGTTCGACCTGGGGCAAAACAAGGCGTGGCCAACAGGTAGCCTTGCTCTTTCGACGATGAAGAATGCCAGTACCGAAGAACAAGGACGCCGACTTGACCAACCCTCACAGCAGGGTCTTCTTCCCAAACATCCGGAAAAATCCTGGAAGAAAGATTCCTGGAAGAGTGATTTAGCTTCGGGAAGAAATAAACAACAATTTGATTTGCTGATCGCGAGATGATATTGTCTTGAAGCACTGGCGTATCTAAGAGGGAGAGAGGGCTTTCCTGTTTAAGTCCCCAAAAATATATATATATTTTTTTTTCATTAGTCCATGAGTGTTTTTAGCTAAATACTTAAACTATTACAGTATATTATTTTTAAAACTGTAATGCATCTACAGCTACCAATGTAATTAGGTGTCAAGAAAAAGTAAAAGAAATTTATCTCTAAATGCTTTTATTGTATCCTATACGTATTTGTTTTGACCTTCAAGAACAATTTAAAAATCATTTTATTTTCTTCTAGAGTAATCACTGTTATTAAGAAAAAAAACTCTATAAATTTAATTTCTGGATGCACTAGAGTGTTAATAGGATTTTCGCCACAGGTCCAAGCTCAAATTTCAAATGAAGGTTAACAGTTTTAAAACAATATTTTAGGTGATATATACTTTTTTAAATTGCCTCATGATATTAACTCATTTTATGGACTGAATTAAGGTTCAATCAATCAAAAATTAGAAACAAATATTTTTCACTTAATCTAAAACTAAAATTTTGCTAGATTTTCCAATCTCTAAATTCTTCTTTAGGAACATATTTACAAAAGCATAAATGACTGACTAATTATAGCAGAATAGCTAAAAAGATACCCACAAATACTAAAATGAATTTCTTGATAACAAAAATTATTTTGTTTTATAAATTTTTAAGAGAATAATATCTAATATATAGTATAGTATTTCATGTTCTTAAGAAGGGTCCATATATATGTATATAGATTATATAAATAATTATATATATATATATATATATATATATATATATATATATATAATTATAGAGGTATAGGACTTCTTCTGGTTGTCTATTAGATAATGACTAATATTTTGCTAACTTGTATATATCCATATTATGAAAAAATAATAAGTGAGTTAGCTGAAAAATCATTTAACCTAACCATTCTAAAATAAGGAACTATGTGGACTCTAATTCATTCCAGAAAGTAGAGAAATTTAAATACCTCGAATCCATAATCCATATTGGCCAAACATCGAGAGAATATAATATCATGATATATTTAATAAGGTCAATATTAAATTAACTTGATTATTTAAAAAAAAAATATCTAAACATTTCATGAAAATAAGATAAATTTTGAAAAAATACTCTTAACTGAAATTTTAAAATCATTGAACAAAAAGGTGACAATTTTGTATTACTAAATATCATTAATGCAATTAACAACAAATCATAAGTCCATACATATAACAACTCATATTCAAATGTTTAAATATTACTTACTTACTTCTTCTATTTGTTTCAGTGCCATACAGGAGGATGAATTGGTCCTCTGCGGCCATATTCCTCGCCCTCCTCTTCACAACTGCATGTTCTCAACGAGGGGGTCGTCGCTATCTTCCAGACCAACCGCTTGTATGTGACAATCTGTATCAATAAGTATTGTTACAAAATCAATTTTAGTAATTCAATTTGCCCAATTAAACTTGACAAACTAACAGCTTCCAATATCCAGTATGAAAAATTTATAGTGTCTGTTGTAATCAGTGTGATACAATACTAAAATAAGCCATAATATTTTATAATAATCAGTTCATATCATTATTGTTTATTACCTGTATTTTAACTTTATATTACCAATCATTTTGTAAATATTTAATTTAAGGACACACTGACACGTTTATTTATTTTCTGCATTTAGTCCCAGAATAATAAAGGTATTTTGATTTCATTTTATTATGGTTGTTAAAATAAACAGAGTATTTAAATAAACTCAAAAGTACTACTGACTTAACTAATGTTTTAATATAGATAAAAACTACCACTAAAGTTATTGCTCATATTGCAGTTAGTAAAATGTTTTAGTTATAGCAGTGTTTTTCACAAACAAACTTTTAAAAATAACATATTCACAATGAATAATAAATAACCTAGTGATTTAGAAGGACAATATAAATTATCCTCAAATTTATACCATCTTTCAATCAGCTCCAAGACCTCACAATTAGGTCAATCATAAATTTTACAGTTCCATCCTATCTAATTATTTAATTGATAAATGATTAGCCAATGAATGATAAAATGGCAGTTTTACTAGAATGTTTCTATACTTTTTATTTTCATAAAATATATGAATGATACAAGTATTAAAACTTTATTCATGCAAAATTTTCCAGAAAAAAATAGTACTCAAAAATTAAAATTATAACTCAAACTCATTGAAGTCAACTCTCTCAATGGGACTGAAATATATCAGTTAAATAATTAAACAAAGAAATTGAATCAAGACTCAGAAATAATTACATCTATTTTTATTTTGCATTATTTCACTCATATTATAAAAATAATGAAGAAATTGTACTCATGAATTGTAGTATTTAGTTCATCAGCAATAAACTTAAATAATTTATTTTTTTAATGTCCTACTAAGAATACCTTAAAATATATCTCACTGTAGATTTGTACTTTATCAAAGATTAAATGGGATATTTTCTTGATTCTCAATAACACTAGACTTATTTTGTGTGATATCAACCTATTCTTACATTATCCTCTGGACAGATTTGAAACTTCATTATTTTAATAATTATTGATTGAATAGTTATATAATGTAACATTTTATATTCAAATCACTGTTGATATTATTTTTCAGGAGGAAAGTTTAGCGGTAGATAATCACAGATTTCAAACAAGATCTAGGGGAGATGTGGAAGATGCAAGAAGAGGAGATGGTAGAAGGGCAAGAATCCAAGAAACAACTGAAACCAACTCACGTTTAATCAAAGGTAGATCTCGAGTCAATATAGAGGAAACAAGACAGTTTCATTCACGCTTTGGGAAAGAACAAGAAAGTAAGCCTGCAGAAAATAGACAATTTGCTTCTCGTCGTTCATTAGAAACTGAACCTACCAGGCAAAGTTCACATGAGAGAACTGGAAATGAAAGATTTAGGTCTCGTGAGTCTTCAACAATCGAAGATGCTTCCAAAGTTAAAAATTCGAGGGGTAGAACGAGAGTGGAGAGTACAACAGTAGAATATAGGACTAGAGGCACAGAAACTAAAAGATTTCCCAGTCGAGGTACTCAAGAAGGAGAAGTAAGCAGAAACAGTAAAGATTTGGATCATTTTAATGTTGGTGAAAGACCAGAAAGTAGGCGCAGAAGTCAAACTATAAGAAAAAATGTGATAGAACCTCCTAAAAATACGGAGCCTGTGACAGAAGGATTTATTTCTCGTCAGTCTTTGAGAGAAGAAATCCAAAGGGGTGGAGTCAAAGAAACGACAGAAAAAAATACACAAAATCATCATAGTATTCCTATCACAGAGGGAAAAGTTCCGGATCTTACTAGTGCATCAAATGAAATTGAAATTGAAAAAAGAACAAGACCACTGGATCCTACAGTAACTGAAAAACTGCATTCTAGGCAAGTTGGTCGAAAAGAAATTAGGCGAAGTAGAGTTGATCTGTCAACAGAAAATACAATTCATTCTCAAAGAAGTGGAAGGAAGAAAACTGAAGAACTTCAAACAAGAGGAAATGGTTCAGAATCACGAAGACGATCAAGACCAACAGATGTATCTGTAACAGAAAGGTTTCATTCTCGACAATTAAGTAGAGATGATTATCCTCCTAAAAGAAGTAGACTAAACTCATCAACAGAGAAAATTAGAAGTGATAATGGTAATGCTCATGTAGCAAGAGGTAGAAAAGGTCAAAAATTTACAAGTCGGGGAAGTGAAGCAGAGTTTGAAAAAAGGAGACAAAGTGAGATTTCCTCAACTGAAAGATTCCATTCAAGAGAATCAGAAAGAGAAAAATTACAAAGTCGGATTGAACCCTCAACATCACCTAGCACTGAAACAGAAGTAAGTCCAGAACTTTCTAATAAAGAAACTAATACTGTAGATGCTGAAAATAAAATACAAACAGAAAGTGTAGTGAGCGAGCCAACAGCTGAAGCAAATATAGATGATATAAAACCCGTTACTAGTCAACCTGATCCATTGTCAACAGAGAATACAGTTGATTTTCCTATTAAATCAAATGATGTTGAAGAACCTAATAGAACTTCTAGAAAATTAGAAGTTGATATTCCTGAAAGAATTAATCAAAACCACCACAGAGGACAAAACCATGATTTCGAAACTTCTAGAAGAGGGAGATTAGAATCTACTCTTTCTAGAGACAGAAGCAGGTCACAAGAATCTCCTGCCAGAGGCACTGAAGGTCGCAGACCATCTCGGCGATTCAGAACTCAAAGTCCAGATTCATCAAAAGAAACTTATGATGAAAGCAAGGGCAGAAGAACACAACAAAGATTACCTTCAAGAACAAGAAATGTAGATACACCTAGTGAACGTGGGAGACAAAAGGTAGATGGAGAAAAAAGAAAGATATCTCCAAGGCACAGAAGTGAGTCAGGAGTAGCTAGATCAAGAAATGTCGAAAGAATTCCTCAAACAGCACAAGTAACAGAACCTGTCACAGAAAGCAGGGTAGAAAACAAAGTTTCGATTGAAACTCAGATTCAAAATGAGCAAAAAAATGAAGTAACAGCAGCAGAACCTGCTGAAACTCAAGTTACCTCAACACAGAGGGTACTTTCAAGAAATATCAGCCACAAACCAGGCAATAGAGGAAGAGGCAATGTTAAGGGGACAAATGTAAGTAAAATAAATGTATGCCTTCCTAAAATACATTATTATCAAAAATATCAAGACCAAATAACTGTTATTTTATTTTCTGTTTTTAATAATATTAAAAATTCAAATCATGGATCAGTATAAAATTCTGATTTTTCATAGATTTGTGTCAAATAAAAAAAATAAAGTCAATGGTCTGAACTTACCTTTTTAATAAGATCTTTTTTAGTTCTTTCCAAGCAATTAATAGTTAAAATAATTGTTTGTTACATGTTTATATTTATTTTAAACTTGAGAATAGTAGACATTATAATTTTTAATTATTAGTTTTTACTACCAGAAACAATAACTGCTTTGATGGACATTAACTGCATTATTACATAATCGTAGCTTTATAGGAAATCTTTTAAGATGATCAACATACTTATATAATGAGAGAAAGTTTCTAAATCATTATTTTCCTTTGAAAGGGTTAAACCGAAAAAAAAGGATAGAACAATTGCTTTTTACCACTATTTACGCGGTTTTTTGGGTAGGCTATATATTATTATTTGAATTAATGGTAGACACTGAATCGAATACCCTTCTGTCCTATACAATTTTATTTCATATTTTTATTAATGGAATATATTATAAATATTTTTTTAAAAGTCAATATCATTCATTCCCTATTTCACGGCACCTATATACACATCGTCAAGAGGGAGGGGGGCGTGAGGAGAATTGCAACTGGTATAGAATTTGGTGGAATGGATCAGGTTTAATGTTCTACCATTGAAATTTACTCTTAAATGAAGTGGATTATTAGACAATCATCAGCAGTTTTAGATCTTAAATAGACCATGGAATACTTTAATGTACGTATAAAGGAATATGGACCGGATTTATAGAAATAAAGAAAGTAAATTTTATTCTGTGGCACTTAGTCCATTAAGAATAATGGAAACGTCTTATCACAATTTCATTAGTGTGGCATAAAATCAATAACTATAAATTGATTAATTATAAATAAAGATTAAAGGCAACCCAAAATAAATAAATGAAAATAATGAATTATAGAATTATAAAAGGCGATTAGTTTACTAATGTTCACTTCTAAGCAATATAAATTAGATGAAAAAACAAGGTAAAAGAAGTGTAGCAGCGAATGGGTAGGCCATTAAGGTAAAGTAAGTGATAATAAAGAATGAAATTAAGGAGATGTTTGGAACCAATGAAAATAGTATTGGCATTCTCAAAATTCAATCTCAAGTCATTGTTCGCAGCCCATTTTTTGATACAGTCTCGGTAAGATGAAAGGAATGGTACATTTATAAATCATCAGCATAAAGGTGGTATTGCTAAAATTGTGATTTATATCGTCGGCACCATGTTAAAGTAACGAATGTGAAACGTTAGGCAGATTACCATTCGTTAATTTAACGTGGTACCAACGATACAAATTATACTTGCAGTGAACTTTTCTCCTTTCTTCCCTACTTTAAAAGTTCATAATAATTGAAACATGAAAACTGGAAAACAACTTGCGCCATGCTAGTTGCTTGACTTCTTTCTGAGCATCCATGTAATAAACTGTCTAAAAATAATGTTACATAATTAGGAAATATGCAATATGTAAATACATACAAATCATGTCATTTTGCCTTCTGGGTTATTAATGGTCTACACAAACTCTATCGAAAAATTAATGTTCTTTCAATTCAAGCTCAGGTAAAAGCATTAATGGGCGAGGTGTTGACAGAGCTTGGACTTGAATATTTCGGTTCCTAAGTTTTTAAAGGTTTATATTCTCATAATAAACAGTTTAATTTGAGTATGTCTGCCTTGCAAAAATATTCCTCTAGTACATGCGCTTTAACGTAGCTCACCGTTTATTAATGACTACATGAACCTATTAGAAAATTTAATAGCCTTTCAATTTGATCCTAATGTGTTTCTTCAAAAAATCCGTCATTTATGAAGTATCAGAGGGAAATTGACATTGATTTCGTCCAAAATAGGCAAATTACCGAATAGCTCTTGCTTCTCACAAGTCCACGAAATTTTGGTACGTTTTGTCTACCTTAACATTTTTTAGCGTAATATTTTCAACAAATAGTTTTGGAGCTATGTGTAAAAAAAAGTGCGAACATTTCGATCGTTATAGCGTAAATATGTCCCACGAATTTTTTTTTTTTTTTTTTTTTTTTTTGTCCTCCCCTTCCTCACATTTTAGGCTATACGGGTTTTTGCGGGCTGAGGGGTGAGAGCGCCAGGTTTAAAATCACTGGGACGCAAACTCTTAATTATTTTTATCAAATTATCTTTGATCTGAGTTGGAGGGCAACAGGCAGTGCTATGCACACGCATTAGCCCGCTCGCCCACCCTGCCTCATGTCTCAGGAAGCTTTAAGAAATCTTTTCAAAAGTTTCATCTTCCTCCCTCTTCAGTAGATCCGCCCCAGTTCTCCTTTTATTGCCAGGGACAAAAAGTTAGGCCAATGAAATGTTGGATCCATCTGCAACAAATGTGGTGGAGAATATAAAATTATATGTTATGAGAATATAATTATGAGAATATAAAATTATATGAACTTATTGAAATATGATTTTGTGAAATTATAATTTTACTGGTTATATATATATATATATATATATATATATATATACACTTTTTTTTAACTTCATGGACTTGAGGAAGTCATTATAAAATGAAATTTTTAGGTCCAGACAGAAAAAGAGCATTCTGGGGAAGTTAAAGATGAGGACAACTACCCAGAAGTTTATAAGCAACTGAAGAAATCAGGAACTGATCCTAAAGATATACTGGTATTACCACCTTCTTAAAAACTATCAAGCAATTATTAACACATATATAAAACAAATAAATGAACATTATACATATGAGATTATAAATTATATAAAGATATATGACATTATATGATAAATATTCTTAACATTATGCACTTTGTTGTGAATAATTATGAATAAATACGTTGGTGAAGATTAACTTTTTTATTTTCAAAAGCATGATACCTTCAATAACTTAAAACAGTAGTTTGATTATTGCTATTTATTACCTAACCAACTAAACATTGCATATAACCTTAAGTTTAGTTACATATTTTTTACAATAACAGGACTCAAATAAATACAGAATCAGTCACAAATATTATTATAACCTAACGAATAACATGATAACTATTTAAAACTTAGTTGATATGGTATAATAACAGTGAGCCTTGTTGTGCATGATTTTTGCAGGCATTGTTGAAAGCAAGAAAGGCAGTGAGAGAAAAACTTGAAAAGACAAATAGCAAAATTTCCCAGCCTGATACATCCCTGGTAATTTAAACTTTTTTTATCATGTAAATATGTAAAATGATCGCAAAGTTGTTTCAATCTATCTTGGGGTAGCACTATTATGGTTTGGCTTCTTTGTAGAAATTAGTTTTGTAAATATACCATTGCCCTGGTTAAGGTTCTTCTGTTATTTTCTATTTTTTAGTTGGTTGCACATCTAGAGTATTATGGATTGTTCTTTTATTAGTATTAAAAGCTACAACACATAATTATTCATTATTTATAACTTTTAGAACCCTAGTCAACAACCTGTTTTTGGATCTGATGAAATAAAAACACCGGTGCTTCGCGGAACAACTTTACGTAATTCAAACCTCAGATCAAGAGATCATAAGAGTGAAGAAATAAATCAAAAAATTGAATCAAAAATAACTAATGATGAAACTAAAAATTCAGTGAGTAGTACTGAAAAAATTGAACGGTTTTCAAATTTCCGAAGCAGTCGATTTAAAACACCGAGAACATACAATCAGAAGAGTGATGTTCCAACCACAGTAAAAACTACTCATGAATTGACCACTGAAGAAAAACTATTGCAAGATGAAGCTCCAAAAGAAAAGAAATACAATCCTTACAATTATCAAGAAATAAGGTCTTTTAACAGAAAAAAAATTTCTAATCTTCCAGAACGAAGTAAAAATTACAGAAATACAGTGAAAAGTTTTAAAAATAGTGATGAACAAAAGCTAGAAGAAAAGAATGTAAACGAGCTTCATTTAACTGAAAATCAAGAGCCAGCTGTAGACAAAATAAAAAAAAGCTTTACTAGTCCAGAAAGCACCAGATTTCGGAACAGATTTAAAAATAATATCAATCCTAGCTTAAAGAGAGGAGGGATAGTAAGTCAAAATAATGTTGATGAAATCAATAATGAAGAAACGCCTAGAACTGAAAGAACCAGAAGCTTTACTGGTCCCGGCATTAGTAGGTCAAGAAGTCCATCGAAGAGTAATAGTCATGAAACTAAAAATAATGAAGATGAAGATGGATTAAAACAAAATGATGAACTTAAAGATACTAATGAGGATGAAAATTTTGAAAAAGAAAGGAAGTTGTCTAGTAGAGAGGAAAAGGAATCAACTCCACAAAGTTCACTAGCTAAAGAAACATCTGAAAAAGGTAGAAAGTTTGGATTAACAGCTGCTGATAACAATAAATTTAGAAATAAATTTTCCACTAGACCTCAAGAAAAGTCTGATAGTGAATCGATCAAACCTCTGAGAAGAACAAGTTTCACAAATCCAGGAATAAGTAAATTTAAATCAAGAAAAGAAAATGACATTGAAACATCCTCTCCTGAATCAAACACCGAAAAAACTAAAACAAGATCTAATTATATTCCACGGAACAGAGAAGGGGATATTAGAAAGTTTAAGGCGAGAACAGAAAAGACCCTCGAAGATGTATCTATTGAACCTTCGATTAATCGAAATTACAACCTTTTTAATCGTAATGAACACTCTTTCCGAAGAAGAAGTTTTACTTCACCAGCTTCTGAAGGTAAAAATACCACATTTAAATAATTACTTGATTTATGTTACAATAAATGAATGTTATATTTTTTACATTTTTTTTTTTTAAGGAACTGAAATATTGACAACTATTCAATACAAAAACTCTATGGTTGCTGCCAGAACTCGCCCTCCTTTTGTTCCACAAAGGAAGAAGTTTGTAAAAACTAGTACACTTGACCCAATGCCTATATCCAGGTAAATTTTAATGTATGTATTTTTAATTTATCTATAAAAAAGAATTTATTGTAAATAATTTTAAACTATTTTAAACTAGTAATCAAAAGCTGATTTGAATTTATTAATGCTTGATGAATTGAATTATGTAAATTATAATTATAATATAGTCGACCATCATAAATACATTTTTTTTCAATGAACAGCTTTATAGAACTATTTATTTTAATGATAAAGGATAGATTTGTTGTGTTGCAGACCATAAGTATGATAGATAATACCTCCTCCCCTAGCTGCTCCTATCTTTACTAGATATATGAATCTCTCCCAACTTCTCTTTCCTAACATTCTTTTCTTCTCTACCCATTCTTAACAGACCCAGTAACATTACAGAAGGTTTGTTGTTTGATGGATAACTCAAGTGTTCCAAGGTACAGTTAACAGCAAAGTTTGAGCTTTTGTTGATATCGCAGTGCTAAAGCCAAGGCAAGATGACAAGTCACTTTACAAATATTCAACGCATAACTTTTTAAAAAAAAGTATTGTTTTAATGTTAAGAATTAAGTAAAGATAATATTTAATTTGATGAGGGTTTAATTGATTTATTTTTTTACACTTACAAATTTATTAAAAAATAACAAATATAATTTCACTCAAATTTTGCAAACCCCCTAAAAATTACTTTTCTGGACAAATCTGTGATTTACTATAAAGAAATTTATTTTAAAACATTTATTTATATGTAGTAATGATATTATAAGCAATTTCAGAAATTTCTTAATTTTTCAATTATCTATTCAATACTTATAGCTTTATCAAGTTATTGGCAGTCAAAGTATTTAATTTTAACTTTTTTTTTTTTCTATATATTGTAGGTTTAAAGCGAGAAAGGCCTCATTATCAAAGTTATTCAATGAAGAAGTATTAAAGGTAGATAATTCTGAAGATCACACCCTAACATTTAATTTTAAGGTAAAACTAATACGAATAATTCTCAATATGTCTCAACAAAAGATGGAAATTCAAAATTTCTTCTAAATAAAGAAATAAATAATAAAATGTATTTTTTAAACAATTAATTATTTGCCTGTTTTAATGTGTGTAGGAAGAAGATGATCTGAGACCAAACATTGATGACTTGAGTATAGATTCATTGGTATCTGAATCCGAACACTCATCATTAACAACAGAGGCAAGTATACTCAAATACCTTAAATAATATAAATACCTTACAACAAATATTGAATATCTTATTTCTATTATGGTTAGTCTACACAATCAATCATCTGTATTAATTTTGACATAATTTATTATTTATATTGTTAGAAAGTTTCGAAAGAAAGATTTTGCGATGTATTTATGGTCTACTAAGAGAGAATGCAACATGGACTAGCCGAACAAACAACGAACTCTACTCTTTATTAAAGGAAACAAAATGTTAAAGCTTGGCAGGCTTTGATGGGCATGTCATGTGGCCAGGATGGATGCACAAGAAATTCTTAGGAAACTCCACGATGAAAAATTATATAGAAAAAGAGCAAGAGGCCACCCGAAGCTGATGGTGTTAATGAAGATTCAAGAAACCTGCTCGATGTTCGAAGCAGGAGGACAGCAGCACTTGACCGAATTAACTGGGGAAAGCAGCTTGATTGTTAGAAAGTGCATAAATATTGGACAGACTGATTTCTTCAAAGTGTTTAATTTTATTTTTTTACCTTTAACTCATTGTTATTCTAGATTTACATTTTTTCTTTTAATTAATTATTTTAAGTGACATTCTAAAGTAATGCCACATTTTTTTTTTTTTTTTTTTTTTATTGAAAAAATATTACAATCTGTCTCAAGGACATTTATAATAGTGTTAACAGATCACATTCACACTCTATGTACAGTAAATAAAATAAATTATACAGAAAAATAACATATATACAATAAATAAGAATAAAATAACCTAAAAATAAATAAATAAAAAGAACACATACATACCTATATACAATAACCACAATATTATTTGCCTGTGGTGCCACATTTTTAATAATATTTTAAAAAGTCAAAGTAATATTTAACATAACAGTTTAGTTAGTTTTCATAAATGAAATATTAATTTAAAATCAGTCTATTATATTTCTTAATATTAAAATATAATTATTTGCTTCACTACAATAAAATAAATTTGTTTGGTAGTTTATTATATCATTTAAGTTTAATGTTTATATATTTATTTATTTATTACTTTTTTTTTGTTGATTAGATCTCAGCACGGAGGCGACCAAAGTATACTGAAAGTCACATTCAAAAAGTTCCTCCAAAAAGAAGAGGCAGTGAATACTTTAAATTGGCCTCTTTCTCATCGACAACAAGCAAGACTGAAGTTTATACAGTATTAGCTGTTCCATATTATGATGAAAGTACCTCTGCCCCTGAAACAACAATATCAACAGAATTTGTTTTGGATCCAACTACACATTCAACAACATTGAGTGACATAATACCTTCAACTACGCCCATCTCAACAACAGACTTTGCAAGTACACTTTATAGCACTACTGAAGCATCCAGTACATCTTTTAGCACAACCGAAACACCCAGTACAACTACCATTACTACAACAGAAACACCTCAAAGTAGTACTTCAAGTTCATACACTTCAGAACTGACAACCATTAAACCTACAACTACTGAACCTACATCCATTAAAACTACAACAGATTATATAATGACTAAAACTACTACTGAACCACTAACTACCAGTACAACTGAATTAATAACAACTATACCTACTACCTCTACCATATTCCCTACTACAATTACCACTACAATCACAACTACAACAAAAAAACCTACTACGACCACTACAAAACGACCTACTACGACCACAACTACTACAAAACGACCTACTACCACAACGATTACTACAAAACGACCTACTACCACTACAACTACTACAAAACGACCTACTACCACCACAACTACTACTAAACGACCCACTACCACCACTAAAACTACAAAGCGTCCCGCTACCACCACTACTACTACTACTACAAAACGACCGACGAAATCATCTACAAGTGGATCTACCAAGCCAACTACTAGGAAGACTACTGTAGTTAGCACTACTAAGTCAACAACAAAGAAACCTTCTGTAACTAGCACTAAAGTGCCCATTACTAAAAAAACAACTCCTAAACCCACTGTCAGAGCCACAATACTTAACTCTACTGAAAAGCCTTCATCAATCCCAGTAACTACGCACAGCACTCCAATATCATCAACTCAAAAAGATTCTCATCTCACAACAACTTTTAAAATTGATGAGTTGTTATCTGCAACTCATCCTAACTTCTTATCAACTATAGCGTATCTCGCCAGAAACTTAACCGTGACCCCTACTTCGTATGAAAATGCCAACACAGCTAATTTCAGAACACCTTCTATTCCAACTGAAAATACCACACCAATGCAAAATCAATCAGCCATGAAGAATGACTATTTTGTTTATGGATTATTGCCAAATAATAATGTAGTTCGGAAAGTCGTGAAAACAACAGCATCTCCAATGGATGTACCATTCTATATTTATGGGCTATATCCAAACGGCACCATTGTTAGGAGATTCCCAAATGGTACTATAGTCCCTGACGAAACTGAAGAGGAAAATGAAGTAATTGGAAGGATTGAGCCTGGCAGCGAAGAGTCCTTAGAAACTGTTGTTAAAAAGGACAACCCACTGTCCTACCTCTACCCTCCTGTAAGTAGAAAATGATAATTTAAATATCTAGTTATAAAAATGTAGGTAAAGAAAATGTTTGCCCTTTTTTTTTTTTAAATGTTTTTATTAAGTAATCTGTTAAAGTACAGACATTCAAAAATACTTTTAAAAAGTCATTACATTTAATAAAAAGTGAAATTTAACAAACATTAAAGTAAGTATATTTAAATTTCCTCAAACAAATTTAATTATAATAGCTGGGTTCGGAAACACAAGATCTAATTTGCTTTTTTATTTAGTAACCTTTATATTTGCTATTGAAATTGAAATTGGCTGTTTGTAGATGAAACAAAAGTATTATTTAATTAGTTTAGAAATAAAAGTAACAGCTTGTAGTTTAATTAGACTTGACCGATAAATATCTGTTGCACCTGTGGAAAGTGTAACTGCAAATTTTATGGGTCACTAGAAAGTTAATTTTTCTCTCTTTTTTTGTGTTTAATGGGCCAAGTTATGCAGCTATTACAGAGATAAACATGCCTTTGTGAATTATGGGTTGAAACTCGAAAATTGAACTTGCACATTTGGAAATTGCAAACTTTCAATTGTGTTTTCTCATAAATATGATTATAACACTTAACACACTATGCACCGGTGACACAGATGTCTATTTAACATATTTTATCTTTAAAAAATTATATATTAAATTTTTGTGGTTGTTTTTGTTACATTTTCATAATTATTATTAAATTTAAATTCTTAAAATTGCTTTCAATACAGCTATATTAGTTTTGCTTAAAATATATTCATAAGTTATCATTCTCTTCAATGTTAGGCATGTTCCAAAATGCCTTGAATTGATTCATAAATAATAGTTCCTCTTCTAGAAAATTAATATGTTAATTTTTTTTTAATTGATTTATTTTAAAATAATATTTATGGTACACAAGCTGAATTCATTAGGGATGGTCCTTTCGAGAGATATAATGTGATAAAAATTTTCAAGAGAGATTTGTAATGATAAAAATATATTAATATATATAATAGCCCAGTTCTATATTTATACGTTTGAAGTACATACCTACATTATGACCTCTAAAAATCTTTGTGCTTATAAAAAATAAACATTATGACTGTTTAAGTATGGGAAGGAGGTAGCTCAGTAATTTCCCGGGACCAGTTACTAATTCAGTTGTGGTAGACAATTATTTATTTATTTATAATTATTTATTCAGTTATATCAGCTGTGGATTGATACTGAGATTAGGAGTCTCTTCTGAGGTACAACCAGCCTCTATAATGTGGGTCTCTGAATTCAAGCAAAAATCTGGTTGTTATGCATGTTCCCGGCTAAATCACCTTCTTGCTATTTAAGCATTTTAAAACTGTTGGCTAATAAACAGCAACTCTTTAACAAGAAATGAACCTAAAATCCTTCATAGATTGTAGTGGTACAGATTTTTTTTCTTCTGCATCTTTTTATTTTTTCAGTGTTACTCCAGAGTACATTTGTTAAGATTTAATTAGAAGTTTTTATTAGTTTTTCCTTGTTTCTTAGTTTACAATTTACTTCTTTTTTTTCCTTTTTTTATTTAACACTCCACTACTTCATTGATATTATATTACTATTAGCTTAGAATTCTTGCATAGCTTTTCAGAGAATTTACTAAAGGTTGCCATTTCTTTTTGTTTTATTGATCATTGTATATTACTATTATATTGTGGTTATGTATTTAATTTTATTATTATCAATACTTATTTTGACCATATGTTAATATAGTATACTAATAGGCAATACCGATTACATTCTATGAATTTCGGAATGAATTAGGAGTGTATTTCTTGACATCATGTTCCACAATAGAGCGAAATGTATAATTTCTTTCTTTGTTATTCCTCTCTTCATTTAAAATATTGGTCCTAATTGTTGAAAAATATCCTTCCTTTCTAATAATTAAAGTATTGATAATGATCATTTTCATTAATGTTTCTCTACTGGACCATATCTTCTACATTTCAAATTCAACCACTCTATATGGAGTGTCATTGTTTCCTTACCTATAGACCTATTGATAATTCAATTTTAAATATAAAATAGTTCTGCTTGGTTTTAACAATTAAACTTTGTCTTTAATTTTAAATTATAAAACATTGGATTGCATTAGCTAAATCTGTGAAAATATTTGTTCCAGGGTCATGAAAAAACTACTACTAAGACAACCCGTGTTTCCAGTACAACAACTATTAAACAAACTGAATCACCTTCAGAAGTAATACCAATAGACCCAAGAATAGCTCCAATATCAAGTATTGAGAAACCAGTAATAAGCATACAAGACATTGCTTCACACTCTGGCCCAACTACTGTTAAATATACAACAAAATTGACAACCGCAAAACCCCAAACGAAGTCAACGACTACCAAATCTACAACCAAATTTACAACCACAAAACCTCCGACAAAATCAACAACCACCAAGTCTACAACTAAATTGACAACCAAAAAGCCTCCAACAAAATCAACAACTACCAAATCTACAACAAAATTGACAACCACAAAGCCTCCAACAAAATCAACAACTACCAAATCTACAACAAAATTGACGACGGTCAAACCTACAATGAAACAAGCTATAAAGCAAACAAGTGCCACAACTCAGAAGACATCTGTCAAGCCAGCCACAAAAGCTCCAGTGACAAAGGCTGTCAATATTAAATTAACAACAGCAAAACCTACTACGAAAACAACTACAAAGCCTTTGACCTCAAAACCAACTTCAAAGCCAACTTCTGCAAGACCTATTTCTAAAACAACTACTTCAAAACCTACTCCTAAGACAACTTCCAAACCTACTGTAAGAGCTACTACAACTAAACCTACTCCAAAGACTACTGTAACAAAATCAACACCAAAGTCTACAGCAAATAAACCTACTACAAAATCTCCTGTTACCACGATCAAGCTAAGTTCCTCTCCTTCAACTAAATCCACCATGAGGACAACTCCTAAACCAAAAACTACAACAAAAATTCCAGTTGCAACTAACAATAAATTAATTACTTCAACATCAAAACCTCCCCCTAAAGCTCTAACTACTAAACCAAATAAAAAATCTCAAGAAAAGAGTACAATTAAAACAATTACTACTCCATTATCAGATGCCGAACTTCTTAACAATTTGGTAAGATTTTAATTTATTTTTAATACCTTAATTTGCTGGTATCCTTATGTTTTTCTAATGATAATGAAATATTTTCAGTTGAGTCAAGATGTAAAAGAAATAATTCCTAAAGGGACAACTGAAAGTACTGTTGCATTAGCGGATAAGGTAATAGTATTTTTTATGAAGCATCAAAATCATTGGTTTTGTGATATATAAAAATATTTATACTCTTTTCTCATTTATTAAATAATCTAATGTTTTCAAGTTTTAACCATTTTATTTATTATTCATTTGCATAATATGAACCAAGATAAATAAATTTGTATGCCTTCTATAGATCAGATGCACAGATTTTTTTCATTTTTAGCATGTTTCATTTTCACATAAACTTTTTTATTATTATACACATTTTTCACAATTATAAAACTTTTTTTTTCAATAAAGCCTTTCAATTAACATTATTACTTTTTGGAATTTTTCGGGTTTAATTTTAAGTGAAAAAGTTGCATATGCATGAGCTTTGTGTACAAAATTTTACCAAACTGCAAAAATAATAAATAATTCGCATAATATAACTGACTTCAGATCTATTGCTTATTCATGCTTGTTAATATAAAATTCAGATTACTATAGAAATATATGATTTTTCTTGAATCATGAAGTACTAATCATTAAATCATTGTTCAATGGACTCAAATTCAAAGTACCCTACTACTCCTTTGAGGAGAGGAAGATGGGTATATATACTTTTTTTTTTAAATCACATGTAAATATTGTCCTTTATCTTGCATGGAAGATCAGGTATGCCAAAATTTTATTAGTTTAAGAATAAAACTGTAGGTTTATATATATAAGACAAAAATACAATCGGCAATATAATTGAGTGATAAACTATTTAGTAGAGTTTGAAACCTCTACATGATCTTGGGGACGACTTGTTATAGCATCATCCTGTATCTACATGCCACAAAGTCAACAAAACCCAGTCTTCCAAAATTAAAATCCTATTATTATTTTCTTTAAAATATTTCTTGACAAAAAAAGAGGAATCATTTTTACAAACTTAAATTTTTCCACAATGCCTTGGTTTCATTATATATGTATATAATGTATATATTTTAGGTTATACAATTAGCTATTGAAAGAGCACAGAAGTCCTCCACAGCATCTCCAGTATTGAGTCCAGATGATTTACAATCACTATCGACTACATCGACTCCTGTTCAGAAACAGGTTTGTTTCATTGTTACAGAGGAAACAATACTGCAATAATTATCTTAGATCTGTTATATTTAAATTTATTAAATGCCTAATTTTTTTTTTATTGTTTCAAACAGTCTTTAGGAGGAAAACTCAATGGGAAATCTAATAAATTAAGCGATGAAACCAACACAAATAAAACTGGAAAAATTTCTGTATGGGTAATTCCACCAGATGAATCTACAACTAGCAAACCAAATATTGGTGTATGTATAGTATACAAATATTATTATTTCACTTAAGAACGGGACATTGTTTTCTTTTTTTGTATTCTTCTAAACCTATTAGTCAATTAATATTGTTTACTATAAGTATTAGTAATGAGTGCCACTCCAACATGGTAAGACATATAAATCAAGTTTAAATTAAAATTGGAGACATGACTCATTTTTGTTATTATTTAAATTAACTTATTGTTCTCTAGTGCCACAGATATAATATATTACTATTGTTATAGCATATAATAATAATATGTTGTATTTAAGCAATCACTTAAAACCTTAAACTCTGTTGGTGAAATAAAAATTATATTTGTTATTAAAAAAAATTTAAAAGAATATTAATAATAATAAATATGAAGATATAAAATTAAATAATATAAATTATAGAGAGACTGTCTTTGGAAAAAAAAAAATCCTCATCTTCAAAGAATATAAAATATTTTAATATTACCTAAACAAATGAAGTCATTAATAAAGCTGATACTTTAGTTTAAAATTCATATTCAATATTGCAATGAAAAATTACTGTATAGTTTATAAATTTATTTCTTTTTTGTTTATAGGTCTCTAAATCCGAAGCAGAATTGCTGAATGCTCTGTTGTCATCACCTAATACTATAGAAAATTTATCTCTCTCTGATCAACTTCTACTTGCAGTTAGTATAATTTTATCTTAAATTCATTATTACTGATTGTTACTTAGCTAAGTTGCACCATTAAAATATTATTGATATACTTCTAAAATAATATTTTATTGAAATTAAATTACAATAAATTATAAAGTAAGTATGTATGTATGTATGTATATATTGTGTATAATAATGAATATATTACTGAGAGTATAATTTTACAAAATATAATAATCAAGATACTCACTCTTTCAGTTTATTTGCAACTGGATACATGTATCTATTTCAACTTTTATTTGCTTAATATTTACTGTAAATATATAAATCAAATTAATGTTCAAAATTTCTGTTTTAGGATATTATTAGTTCGACGGCTGCTCCACAAACTACAAGAAAGAAAAAGAAAAAGTCAAGAACAACAACTACAACAACCACACCTCCACCTCCTGCATTCCCTATACTTCAATACTTATTTGGCCGAAATAGGGTAAGAGAAAATAGCTATATGTTTACTACAAAATCACGTATTGAATTAAAGTTATAAATCCCTTGCACATATTTGGGACATTATATAGTAAGTATACTTACTGAATGAATGAAGTCTATTTTTTGGGAAATAGACAAATATTTTTTGATATAAAATATCCAATAGATTTCTTAAACCAATTGAAAAAACAAAATTACAAATTTGATTGTTTTTTCTGCATTTTGATGAGATGACATATAAATTAATCTATAAATTGCTTTCCTACCTTTTCTGGTTTTGTCCTAATTACTCTGTTAAAAAATAAATATAATATTATTCCCCTTTCTAAAAAAAAAAAAAAAATGAATTTCTCATTTATTAGTTATTTATTCATTCTAAAACAAATACAACAAAAACATAATATCTGTCCTCTATGATAAGTTTTGACTTCTTTGTGTTTAGGGTGGAGGTGGTGGACTATTTCAGCGAGGGCTTTTCCGAGGAGGAGGCCTCAGGAATTTAGAATCTGCAACCCCTTCACCAGTAAGTGTACATGCTATTACAGTATTGGTTAAAACTAAATCTAGTAATAAAAACTAAACTTCTCTCAACAAAGAAAAAGGTTTCTGCTAAAATTTAACGTTTGCCATAATCAACTAGAATTGCAAGATACAGACATTCAAAATTTGAATTAATGCTCATCACAATATATTAAATATATATTACAAATAAATTGTATTAAATATATATATTACAAATAAATTATATTAAATATGATTTAATATAAGGAAAATTTAGGTTTTTAAAAATATTGAATCAGATTTTAAATGTTTTAAGTGTTTCTATACCAGACCAGTTTGTATGTAATTTATCAGTAGATAATAATTGGTTTCTGTAGCAGAATGATGGTGGAATTTTCCAAAATGATGGACTTCCTCAGGGACAAGGGGAACTAGCAGCTGAATCACAGGTAATATTTCAGTCCACTTAAAGATTTAAAGATCCATGACCCATTCCCTCTGTCTGATTTAATTGTTTATTATTAAATAAAAAATAAAAATAAAATGGTGTAAATACAATAATTTCAATTGCTGACTCCTCAACAGGAAGACCCTCAGCAAGGAGAAGGAGGACCAGGACTAGTCAGTGCTGCTATTAACGTATCCCGAGCCGTTTCTCAATTTATGGGATTTGTAATTCAGGTATATCGACGATTTTTTTTTTCATTTAATTCTTTTAGTTATCTATTAATCGAATGAGGAAAATATTTTTCTAATCAATCTATCATTATCTTTCAATCTATTATATTTATTGTTTTTTTTATAATTATATTATCTTCTTAAGTATAAACTAAGTTCATTATTATTATATTACTGTTATTCTTTTTCGATAATATTTTCAGTCTAGCCATTCAATAATGTTTTGATTAAGTTAATTTAGTTTGAAATTTTTAAACATAAAGAGAGATATGAATCTTGACATGAGTTTTCCAGAGACATTGTGGTCAGATCCATGTTCCAACCACTTGATTAATCGATTGTCACATAATCACTTTTTTCTAGTATTTAGCGGACACAATAGCATCTGTCAAGTCTTAATTTTCATCCTAACTGAAAGCATGCTGACTTTTAATTAAGAAAAATTGATTTGCCAAGCCAGAATTTAAAGTGTATTCTTCTGCGTAGAAAATCACTATCACTGGATTACTTCTTTCAAGTTGAGGTTTTTCAGTTAATTACTTATTAAGATTCTTCAAAAAAAAAATTCTAAGGACCCACTAAACAATTTTCTTAATAAAAGGAAAAGTAGATTGGGAATCACCTCTATTCTTTAATATTTTTCTCGGCCTAATGAAGAGGAAGGGACTTAATCTAACACTCGTCAGATGTAATTCTGTAGAGTAAAAATGAGACAACTGAATCAACCTCTTAATTTTAACTGATACTTCTTGACCCATATACCAAATTTCAGTCGACCAATATTGCTATACAATGGGAACTACCAATATTTTATGATAAGTATACATTGTTGGTGAAAATACCAAACCACATACTTATATCATGGAAAATATTGGTGCAGTTGTATAGTAGTTTAACTGACATAATAATTAATTTAATTACATGATTATAAATTTGTCATTATTTTGCTTGATAATTAATAATTTAATTAATAATTAATTAATAATTTTTGCTTAATAATCATCTGGCTGAAAAAAAAAAAAGTAGAGAGAATTATTGATTTATTAAGTGCATCAAAATGACATGAAGCCTATTATATAACAAAAATAGTTTCACTAAGTTCACAATATTCTAATTTCATTGAGGGAAAATTCATCAAAACACTTATTAGTAATTTTATAAAATGTTACTTAATTATTTTTTTCAATAAATTGACAGTATGTTGTATCTAATGTACCTCTAATGCACCTAAAGAGTAACCTGACCTCTTCTTTTATTATATATGCTACTAAAATATCACCTAATTTTAAAAAATACATTTAGGACTAATTGGTTCACATCAATGGGTGTATGGGATTTGTAATGTTATGGGCATCTAGAACATTTGAGGGCCGGAGTAGATTAATGTTTCTGCTCTCTAAACAAATAAATAACATTAAAAAATAATAATATTTTTACTAAAACAAATATTTTCATAAAAAAAAGTATATAATTTTTTTTCAGTGAAATGATTAGTTAATTAAAAAAAACACAAAAAATTATGATTCTTTTTTTTTTTTTACAGGGTGCAGCCCAATCATTCCAAAACTATCTGCAGACAAGAACAAGGGCATTAGCCAATGCTCTAGCCTATCCTCCCGCATCTTAGAATAGTTTATTGTTATTAATACTGTATATATTGTTCAAATGTACATATATAATTAGTAATAATGTATTATATTCTGTTAAATTGTATATTAAGTGAATTAATGAGAGTATGAAAGTATATATGAGAGCTTGGATTTGTTATGGATGATGCAAATGAAAATCAAATCAACCGACTGATGTATTGAATGAAATGTTTGCTTATATAAATTTTCACTATTATTTTTAAAATGATAATCAAAAATTGTAATTCAAAATGCAGTCTAAAACTTAAATTTTAATGTATGTATATATGTGTATTTTATGAAGAGTTGTTCATGTTTTAATGAGCTTTCTTCTTAGTAATGTATTGTAATACACTGTTTTATAGTTCATCGATATATTTTTTTTTTTTATTGTGTATTTTTGTGCCATCAAATTTACTCCTAAATTATTACAGAATAAGTAGAACCCTTCTGGTCAAAATTGTTTAGGGAACATTATTTATTTTCAATGATTACATCTTCTTCCTCTTCTTTCCCGGCGCTACAGATGGGTCTTGGTCTCCTCGAACCATTTCCACCAGTTCTTCCAGTCCAATGTGGCAGGCTTCTAATTTTGAAAATTTAATAGATTTCTGGATTTCTTACTTATCTCATCCAACCATTGTATCTTAAGGCAACCATTCTTCTTCAGGGGTGCTCAGAAGAGGGTTTCAAGGTGCAAGCTACGCCATTAAAACTTTTGAGGGGGATCATATTTTGACAGATTTTTGAATTATAGAGGTCGGTAAATTTCAGCAGAGTTATGAATTTTAGGACTGATTGACAAGGGTAGTACATGTATATAATATTAATAATTAAGGCACTCTGTCATAAAAGATGGTAACTTATAAATTGAAAAAGTCAGCAATATTAAAATGTTTGTTAGTATACAATTCTTTAACTTCAACCTGCTGTCATTTAGCATATCTTGATACAAATATTACTCTTTAAAGAAATAAAGTTTCTAGAGATTCTATCGACAACCTATGAAATCAATCGTAATGAATCAGGTGTTGCCAAAAACTTCAATTCATGAAAAATCCAGATACCATGTTTTACACCTCAATCATTCTGAATAACAACAACAATCATTTAACAATGATGAATCTGAAATAAGATTTTCTTTGTTATATAATTTCAAAAGATTGTTCTTAGTAACCTAGATTCCAATTAATTAGGTTTAATAGTCCATTATTTTTCGTTACATTAGGCAAAAACTTTATGTTTTTAAATCTTGCATTTATTATTTACTTTTAACATTTAACGATAAAAAAATTTAAAATTTCAATGGTGATGGTACTGGTGAGTAGAACTAGTCTGTCAAGTGGGCTATGCGGGTCCTTTTGAGACCTTCCCACTGCTCTGGTTAAAATAAGTTTGGTCGTACCTCTAGAACACCTTCCTCTCCAAATGCCAGAAATGGTAGGTAAGGGATAATCCAATAGAAAAAAAAAAAAAAAGAGTGGGAATGACATGCTTCATTTTCTGGGGCTGCCAAGAAATGAAAATTAAACGACTCAGGTGGAATCAAAACCACAATTTCCAGAACCTGACACTATGGAATCCATGCCCATTCAATGTGCTCAGCCATCCCTTCCTCAAAAATTCCAATGGTTGATAAGGGAAAAACTTTGAGACTAAATTGATTTCACTATTCTCTTAGCTTCTTAGTAATCTATACAAGAGTGAGTAAACACACTTCAATTTAATGTGTTAAAACTTTAAATCATAACTTATATCTTAGTTAATTACTGCCTAATGTGCTAGGATTGTGAGGGTTCAATGAAGAGTATAGAAGAGCAAAATTTGAGTACTTCAATGAGAAAATTTAAATAATCGATGCTTATAAATATGTGAACTAATTTATTCATTGTTTTATCATTAAAGTTTCAATGTATGTCCTTTCTCTCCTTCAAGATTTGATTACTATATTTTACATTTCAAACTGGCTACTGGTGGACACTGATGGGATATAGAAGCTCTTGTGAAGTCCTTATTTCTGATCACTATGCTGATCACCACTAATGGATGGATGCATGTGGAGCCATATGAAATTTCAAAAAAATTAAACAAATTGTTTGTTACATCTGTGTAAAAATTTGTTATAATATGGTACCTACATAAATTATATTGTTTCATAGTTAGAGAAATAAAGATTCGTTTATTCTAATTTGTTTTTACTTCATCGTTTATGTATAAAAAAAGTTCCATCTTCTTTAAAATTTTAACATTGACTACATTACTGCATAAAATAAGTAATACCCCAATGAATTTGAAATTAAGAAGGACTTCACTTTGTTATAGAAATTTATTACAATGTAATGTATGGCCAAAAAATATAATTTTTTATTTTCCTTTTTTTTATAAGTCTTTTTCAATTATTTATGTTTTATATTTACTTGGCAGATCAAGACCCATTTATCCTTTATCCCCAGACAATAGAACTATCCACTCTCTTTTCAAAATTGAAGTAATGAAGGTTGTTAAAATTTAATTTGAGATGACTTCAGTAGTGATGGAAGGATTTAAATTATTGATTGAAAATCAAAATTTCTTTATTAAAAATCAATATATATTGTCCCATCTATTTTCTTTATAAACATCAATAAAACTCAGTTATTTTGTTTAACAACCTCATTATATTAATGAGTGTATATATTTTTTGATAAAATGATATAGAAACAAATGGATACTTTTATTTGTGACATAATAAGAAGTACTGAGGATTACAAAGAGGATTTTGGATTATAGGGATTGGATATGGGAAGAATTCAATGATATTATGGTGCTCTAAAGCTCAATACCGCATATCAAAATGGACCTGATGATGGTAGTGTATATGAATTTTTTGTAGAATATTGGAAGTTTAGAGCATTTGCTAAGTAAATGATGTACAATTATTATCAGAATGAGCAGTTTCTTGTCATTTCAGTCTTCTATGGTGATTCCAAGAATGACGTTTATCAAGATGTCATCCTAAGTAACAGATTTGTTGGATAGGAGTAAGTGGAGTATTGTGAAAGAATACTGTAAGACAGGATGTAGCAGGTTTCCGATGAACAGTAAATGTGATTTGATGGGATTTCGGGCTGAAGCAAGGGCAAGGGCTGAAGCACTAGCGGATCCAGGATTTAATTTTGGGGGGGGGGCTTCAGCCCGAATGATTTTTTTTTTTCATATACATATAACGATAATTAATTTGAAAAAAAATAATGAAATGAATTACCTATATGAAATGGTGTTTAAGTGGTTCTTAAAGTCCTATTAAATATAATTACATGAACAAGAATACTTTAAGAGATAGTTTTTAATATTTTTTTTTTGTAAAACATGGTCACATTTTACCATTTGGGGGGCTTCAGCCCGAAAGCCCTCCCCCCCCCCGTAAATCCGCCTGTGGGCTGAAGAATTACGTTTTCTATATTTATACCTGTCAGAGTTGGGAGAAAATTATCAGGTTGAAGAATGATAGCTGGTTTTTAATTCACACAAGAAGATTGATTACTAATGAATTATTTTTATTCATTAGTTGCGACTAACAGATTAAAACATTTGTAAAATATTCAAAAGTCAGTAAAAATTAAATTAAAGCAATGAGTGATTGTTTGATTTTAAGTAAGGTTGCATGAGATATCTAAAAAATATTTCTAATTTTTTTTCACTAACAGCTCACTAATATGTTTAAATAGATATACTAGTATGTATATTCAATGAAATAGTTTTTTTAACAATGTCATTGCCTTGGTTGGATGAATTTTTAATATTTTTTACAAACTTAAAAATATTTTAAGAGGTTACATTTAGTTTCCTAATAAATATAATAAACTAGTAAATTTCATTTAATTTCCTTGAAAAGATGTGATTTACATTAAATATTATTAGTTTTCAAAAATTATTATTTATAATTTTTTTGCCACTCTCCGTTACCTTCTACTACTTTCTATATTAGATATTGTTTTTTCTAAAATTCTTCCCTTTCCAACGATATATTATACGTATACCTTTTGACCGGTATTTCCGGAGATTCATTTTCGACCTGGATAAGCATTTTTATTTTTTTCTCCTTTATTAAGTTTTCAAATTCTTTCAAAAGTTATATTTAGCATTTTTTCGTAACTCTGAATAATATGAGATGATTAACTTTTGAAAATAAACCATATTAAAGGTACTTTAGAGGAAGACGTATATGAACAATGGGCATTTAAGCCATGTAAAGTGACATCAATGGGGATCACTAGCGGATTAAGGATTTAATTTTGGGAGGGCTTCAGCCCGAAAGTTTTTTTTTTATCCACATATAATTAATAATTAATAATAATTAATATATAAGAATTAATTAACATATAAGAATAATTAATTAGAAAAAAAGAAATTAACTACCCATATGAAATGGTGTTTAAGTGGTTCTTAAAATCCTCTTAAATGTAATTACACGAACAAGAATGTTTTAGAGATAGTTTTTAATATTTTTTTCTGTAAAACTTGGTTATATTTTACCATTTTGGGGGAGCTTCAGCCCCCCCTCCCCCCTCCCCTGTAGATCTGCCTGTGATGGGGATAAGACCTAATTGATATTAAAGACCACTTAATTATATAATGATCCTCCGAGTTTAATCAAAATCTTTAGAGCCGTTTTTGAGAAAATTTGATAATGTGTTTCAGCGTTGATATAAAGTGGCACTTCCGGTTAACCGATTTTAAGGAAAAAGTTGCTGTCCTAAGGCATATACCTATCTTAAATACGTAATATCAGTTTCGTACGACTTATCGTTTTTGAGGTAAACTGCTAACATACACACACACACACGTACCATTTTTCGGGACTTGGTTATTTGGACTCAGGGTAACCCAAAACGTGTGTTTCCGTTGAAAACTCAGATTCAAACATTTTCTCGATCGCAATACTTACCCTTACTGTATATTACATATATACGTAAGTAAAAGTAAAAACGGTTTACTGTTTTTAACTTGTTAGTTGTGTGAAATCACGGGCGGATCTACGGGGGGGGGGAGCTTTCGGGCTGAAGCCCCCCTCCCCCAAAATGGTAAAATATAAGCATGTTTTATCGGAAAAAATACTAAAAAATTATCTCTTAAAGTATAATTATTCGTGTAATTACATTTGAAAGGGCTTTAGGAATCACTTAAACACCAGTTCGTATAGGTACTTAGTTTCTTTCGTATTTTCCAAAGTAATTATCGTTACTTTTATGAAAAAAAAGCTTTCGGGCTGAAGCCCCTCTCCAAAATTAAATCCTGGATCCGCTAGTGTATGAAATGGAACAATGAGTTGGAGCTGTGTTTACATGCTTCCTTTTGTCATCCAATTTCTAGGAGATTTTCCCCACATCAAACTTTCGAACCTCAAATCATAAAGATTTAGAAACGTTGTTTATTTTAAAGTTAAAGGACATACATATCAATAACACAATTTTGGGAAAATTAACCACCCCTCACCCAATCGACCACACTTCGAAAATCATTGATTTATTTATTAATAGTTAGGTCAGTGTTATTTATTTATTTATTACGATAATATAATTTAAATTAATACAATGAAAAAGGAAGTGGTTCCGAATGGAAAAAGTGAGTCCAAGATTTCACACACTATCTTCTACTTATTTGCAGTTTGTTACATCCGGTCTATATGAACTTTACTCGCAGTTCATTGATTTAACTTTTAAGTGAATCACATGGAAGATTTACGTAAGCCGGTATTGTATTAAATTAAAAACCTTTCAATATATAAAAATTGTTTGCATCATAATAATCATAGCTGTTCAGTTTCGAAAGTATTCAACATTGACTGCTGTAGTATTTAAAATAAACCCTTCATTTATATCGGTAAAATTCTTAACTTAATTTTTAAAGTAAGTGACTCAAAAAATAATTAAGAGTATATTTGCAGGTTTACATAGTGTATGTCTCATGTACTGTATATTATACATGTAATAAAAATAAACATTTCTTATTTTCCCTCCTTTCAGGAACCGTTGATTATAAACATTGTGAAGGTTATATACAATGAGTACTGTGAAGGAAGTGATAATTTAGTTCAATGGTTTTACATTGGGCAGAAGTGAACCCATTTGTTTTTATTTGCCCTTATTTAGGCCATGATTTGGAATTTGAAAGAATGTCCTATTCCAGTGGATATGTATCCTGCTTTCGTATTAAGGGAGTACCAATATTACCACCCATAGTGAGTTAATAGTCTTTTTAATGATGAACTAATTAATAAATTATCAGAATTAACCTTTGGTCTGTCACTGGTTAATATTATGCTTTTAGATTCAAGAATAAAAAGTTTCAAGTGTAGGTCTTGTATTCCTAAATTGCTCGAGTTAAAATCAGTTTGTACATTTATACTTTTTCAACTTACTATCTTGTTTAATTGGTGGGACTTAGCATTATGATTTGTTTTGGGGGAATTTAGTTCTTATTTAAATTTGTAAATGTCATATAAATATATATCGTAAATACCTCGTTTAGACTATTATTAAATAAGAGAACATGTCAATATATTTATGGTTACTTAAGTGTTCCCATATTTATCGAATGAGTGGGGTAGAATACTGAATTGTTTGTATTAGTTATGTTCATCATAGTTGAAAACAAAAATATTTAGTTAATTCTGATCTTGGTATATAATTTAAAATGCCTCACACTATTCTAAACTACCTCTTACAGATTTAAAATTTGTCATGACAATTTTTAGGATTTATTTATTTATTTATAACATTGAAGTAATTGGGTTTATAAGAAACTAATAGCCAATTTGTAAAAATGCTGACAGTAATGTTAAATAAAATTAAATTTATTTACTCAGGGGCTGATGTCTCAATTTGGCCATTATCATTTAAATATAACTTCTTTTATCTTTAAAAATAAATATAGTGAATAAATAGGAATTATGAAGTTATCAGTTCTAAATGTTTTGGCATATTTAAAAATACAGATAAAGAATATATAATACACTGACAGGCAAAAAATTCCACCCACTTGATTTTTTCATGTTTTCATCTAAAAATATTTCTGCTTTGGATTGGTCTATTGTTTTTAATGAATAAATACGTAATCTTTTTGTTTGTTTTCAATTAGGAATGTTAATATAGAGGACAATAACCCTTAATCCTTAATTCAATGAAATGATTTTACATTCCAATGTTTACTTTCTATGGAATCAAAATGTTTATTCAGTATCATTTGTTCAGTGACGTTTCTTGCAGCACATTTCTTATTCTCCGGCTTTTAATCTTTTCAATATTAAGTTTAAAAATGCCTCTTAGTGCTGAGGATGTTGCGTGTGGTGTGGCACTTATTGATAATGGACGTTCCATTAGATATGCAGCTAATGCCATCGGAGTTCCATATGAAACTTTACGAGACGCCGTCAGGTGTTTTCGGGAAACTGGTTCTTATAATAGAAGGGCCCGGTTCTGGATGGCCTAGGGTAACAGAACCACTGGATGACCGGTTTTTGTCTTTGAGAATTTTACGAAACCGGCACCTTACCGTTGTTCAAGCGATTCATCAGCTCGAAGAAGTTCGAGGTGTGCAAATTTCTGAACGTACCGCTCGGAGAAAATTAACTGAGTATGGATTAATGGCTTTTCGTCCAGTAAGAGAACCAGAGTTAACCACAACTCACAGAGTAACACGAGTGGCTTTTGCTCGAGAACACAGCCATTGGACTATGGACGAATGGAGTGCTGTACTTTTTACAGATGAGTCAAGATTCGCTCTTCGATCTCCAGAGGGGCGTGACAGGGTGTGGAGAAGAAGAAACGAAAGATATGCAGCCTGTAATTTTTCCCAGAGCCAACCTTTCCTACGTGGTTCCTTAATGGTGTGGGCTGGGATTTCAATGGAGCGCTGCACAGAATTGGTTGTTGTTCGTGGAGGGTCTTTGATGGCCATTCGCTATGTAGATGAGATTTTGGAACCTCATGTGTTGCCTATCCTCAACGAAATCAGCGATCGTTCTATTCTAATGCACGGTAATGCACGCCCACATGTCCCGCGCATAGTGCAGACGTTCCTTCAACAGAACAATATTGAGGTTTTAGCCTGGCCAGCACGTTCTCCAGATTTGAACCCCATTGAGCATTTATGGGATAACCTCGGAAGACGAATAAGAGCGTGTGCAACACTTCCTGATACACTGCAGGACCTTGAAACGGCTCTTCGGGAGGAATGGGCTATCCTCCAGCAAAGATATACTAAGAGGCATTTTTAACTTAATATTGAAAAAATTAAAAGCCGGAGAATAAGAAATGTGCTGCATGAAACGGCACTGAACTAATGATACTGAATAAACATTTTGATTCCATAGAAAGTAAACATTGGAATCTAGAATCATTTCATTGAATTAAGGATTAAGGGTTATTTTCCTCTATATTAACATTCCTAATTGAAAACAAACAAAAAGATTACCTATTTATTCATTAAAAACAATAGACCAATCCAAAATAGAAATATTTTTAGATGAAAAAATCAAGTGGGTAGAATTTTTTGCCTGTCAGTGTATAAAGAATTAAAGAGTCTCCAGCAGCCTCAAAAATTTCTTGAATATCGGGAATAATGCTTGAATGTTTTGCTTTGTGAAAAACTGCCAGTCATTAGAAATTTTGTTAAAACATAGTTTATCAAAATATTGTTAATCTAATAATTTCATTCTTCCTTTCGTCCTCTTTATGTAGCACTCAGACATTCCATTTCTCCTCATAAGTTCTATAAATTGATATCATCTTCCAAGCCTTTTAAACACCTGAAGAAGTTAGTAACTCACAGTGATAAAAATTATAGAGGTCTATATGAGAACTGTAAATTTACTAACTTCTTCATGGTGTTTAGAAGGTTTGGAAGATGATCTCAATTCACAGATCTCATGAGGACCATTTTTCGACTTACCTACTTATGGCTAGACCGTATGGCAGGACCGTCTTGTACACTCCTATTTTGTGCGCTCTTGCTATATCCCAATTTTGAAAGATTTTCTGCAGGGAGCAATAAGTATCTATTACCAATTTTTCTCCTCTTATATTATTATATTCTGTGATAATAGTGCCGAGATAGTTGAGTTGTGATACTTTTTTGAAACAATATTCAATCCGTTCTCGTTACATATTGTCTTTCATCTTTCGATATTACCATATATAGTTTTGTCTTTATTTATGATATGTCCTGCTTTTCTTGCAGCTTCTTCGCACTTCTGTAGGCACCTAATAGTGCATTTGCTGTCCTTCCTATAATCATTACATCATCAACAAACTCTAGGTGTTGAATTAATCTTTGGTAAATACATTCTCCTGACCTTTTGTGGATTGATCTCATGACTGCTTCTAATAGAAAATTAAACAGTACTGGAAAAGGAGGGATTCCCTGTTTTACACTCTTCTGAAAGCCAAATTCTTTCGAAAATCCACCTTCAATTTTTTTTTTTTATTAGGAGTTTCCACCAGTAGTGGGTTTCCTTAACCTAAAGTGCTTGGATGGCTTTTTTCCATAATGTCCTATCTAAGATCCCTTCTTACCGTAGACCATGACCCATCAAGGATTCCTCCACTTCGTCATCCCAGGTCTTCCTCGTTTTCTTCTTTCCCTAGTTTTCCATAAGTGTACTTTTTTGGGTTGTCTTCCTTCAGGCATTCTTTTCAAATATTCATCTCACTTCAGGTGTTTTATCTCAATCTCTTTCAGAATGGTTCTTTTAGCCTCTATCTTTTCTCTGATGGTCGTTTTTAATACAACGAAATACAACCTTCAATTAAAAAAAAATTTTTTTTGATACAGTACATTTCTTTCTATACTGTCATATTTTTGTGATGATATTGATCAACATTCTATTTATTGCATTTCTTGAGCATAATTATGATGGTGAAGGTGTGGTCTATTGTAGATCTTTCTGGGTGGAATCCATATTGGTAACCGCCTAACACCTCTTTAATCTTCTGTACAACCTGTTTCATCAACAAAATTAATAAAATCTTGTAGATTATGTACAATAGTGCACTGTCTGTATAGCTTTTGCAATCCAGTCTGACCTCTGTAACATATAAATTTATCAGAACCTGTCTGTTATAGGGTTTACTGAATTTTTAAAATAATATTTGGTATATTAGTTTCAAACATATAGCAAAAAAACAAACAAATAAATTGATCTGAAACATCAACATCATTATCATCTCAGGCATTACAATCCGTTATGTTGCTCCATTTATATCTGTCTTGTACCAGGGTCTGCCAATCTCTGGTTACCAGAAGTTTCTGTGCATTGTCTTTGACCTCACCTGCTCTCTTAGGCGTAGTTATCTTCTCTTTCTCGTTCCATCCAAATACTCGAATAGTAACCTTTTCATTGATGATTCATAATCCATCTCTGGAACATTTCCCGCCCTTCGTGATCTTTTGAGCCTTAAAAATTGCACCACATCTGGTTTCTGGTAAATTTGGTGCAACTCTGTTATGTCTTTGCTTTTATTGGATACCATCTTTTGCTGGAAAAATAGTCTTCTCAGAATTTTTCTCTTTAAAACCTGCAAGCTCATGGCATTTGTATGTAATAAGAGGAAGAGGTTATCCAAAATATCTAGGCATAAATAAAATGTTTATTGTATGTTTTCTATTTATGTACTTTCTATGTTTCAGTTAACTGATGAAGAAAGACGACAATGTCGAATTTACAAACAACAGGCTATAGATGTGGAAAAAAGGCTACAAGAAAAAAGGTTGCTAAAAGAAAAACAACTCGAATCTGTGCAGGAAGAATTATCACAATGTGAAGATGAAAATAGTTCTTCAACAGAAATGGAAGTCTTGGATTTCATACGTAAAGCACTTGGGGATTCTAATGATTTGGAAGAAGTGAAACTTCTTATCTCACAGGTTGGAGAAGAACTTAAAAAACGTAAATCTATTGGAAGTCATGATTCCACTTTTAATGATGTAGACAGCATTTCATTTAACCAGAGTACAGATATGTGTAATGTAGATAGAGTTGCTAATTATTTTGATAAACAAAATGTGGACGAGTCAGTCGCTTATATCAATCACCCTGACTTACAATTAGTATCCCAAAAAATTGATGAAGAGCACCTAATTTCTAAAGGCAATAGTCCTGGACATGCTGCTACTACAGAAAATCCTAAAGTTGTTTCTGAAGCTGAAGAAGCGGTTACTTCAATATTTTCCAGAAATGTCAGCCAGTTACCTTTCGATGAGGTCACTTCAGAATTTTCAAGACATTCCAACCAGTTACAGTCAGATGACATTTCTTCAGAATTTTCAAGAAATTCCAATAAGTTACTTTTTAACGAACTTCCTGAAACTTACGTGACTGAATCGAGTCAAATTGATTTGTCAAATGTTCATAAGGAAAAAGTGTCACCAGCCAGGAGTAGTGGAAGTGGAGCAATCACTCCTCCCAAATTGATAAGAAGTAATTCTTATACTTTAGATTCTCCAAGCCCTTCTGTTTTAATGTATTTAAGATCCTTGGCTCTTGAAAATTCTAGTGAAAAAGTTGAAGTTTCCACCAAAGTTATTAAAAACTTAAATAATTATTGGAAAGATGAAGAGCCTAATGTAGGAAATCCTCTTGCTGCGGTTTTTGAATTGAAAAATGGAGTTGACAATGTAGAAAGTGATAACTCTGATCATGAAGTGAATAATTACAAAACACATATTAATAACGAAGTTGATCTTTTAAAGATTCCAGATAAACAGAATGGGTATATCACACATCTTAATAATAAAGTTAGTCCTTTGAAGATTGAAGATGTCTGTAATGATGAAATTGATGATGAAAAAGTGGTAAGACATATTTTTTCCTTGAATAATTCTTTTGTTTGTTTAAGTTAAATTATTATTTTTTATTTTAAGCAGCTTATTTATTTTGCATTCCTTTTTATTTTTGTGATGTTTAAGGGTGTACAAACATTAATTTAATTTTTTATGAATGATTAATTATTCTAAAGCTCAGGAGAATCTTTTTTTCTATTTTAATTTATTTTTATTAAGCCAAGTTATTGACATATTTGTTGGTACATGTTTATCACAGTATTATTAAAAGAAAAATAAACATTCTCAGGTATAAAATCATTGATCCTTTTTTAATTTTCATTTACCTTTATATGTAATATGTAGTAAGGGAAAGTATTGCGATCATGAAAATTTTCGGAAATACACGTATTGAGATTCCCTGAGTCCAAATAAACAAATCCTGCAAAATGGTCTGTATGTATGTGAACAGTCTAGCTCAAAAACGAAAAGTTTTACGAACCTAATATTACATATTTAAGATAGATATATGCCTTAGATTTGACAGCAACTTTTTTCATAAAATCGACTAACCGGAAGTTTTCTTAAAAACGGCTTTAACGATTTTGATTAAACTCGGTGTTTTATTGTTTAATTAAGTGGTCTTTAATATTTAGGTCTTATCCCCATTCATGTCCTTTTACAGGACTTAAATGCCCAATGTTCATTTACTTCTTCCTCTAAAGTACCTTTAATATGGTTTTATTAAATAATTAATTCTCTTTTATTGACAGTAAATATAAAAAATGGCTAAACATGAAGTTTGAAAGAATATGATAATTGGAAACTTGAGAAAAAAAAAAGAAAAATGCTTATCCAGGTTGAAAATGAATCACTGGAAATACTAGTCAGAAGGTATATGTCTAATATATTGTTGGAAAGCGAAGAATTTCAGAAAAAATAATATCAATTAAATAAAGTTGTAGAAGGTAACGGAGATTGATGAAAGAATTATAAACAATAATTTCAGAAAACTAACCTTATTTAACGTAAATCATATGTTTCCAAGGAAATTAAATGAAATTTTCTTACTAAATGTAAACTTCCAAATTTTTTTCTAAGCTTGAAAAAAGTATTTAAAATCCACCAAATCAAGCTAATGCCATTGTTTAAAATACTATTTCATTAAATTTGGGTGAAAGAAGAAGTGAAATATAAAAATATTTCATGGATATGTTTATAACCTTAAATATATTTACTATAGTTTAATAGCTCTAGATATGATATTATATTGAAATAATAAGTTATCTATTGGCAGTTAATTCCAAAAAATCATCAAGAAACCTTTTAGAAAATTAAATTAGTGAATAATTTGATGAATTTTCCCTTTGGGAAATCCCCAAATTATCCATTTACAATTAGTGTGGCAACTTTTGACCCATCCATGGTAGGCAATGAAAATTTCATTTTGGTAAAATTTACAATAGAAAATAACAGTTTAATTACTAATAATAGCCCTACAATCCATAATCATTTATAGGTTAAATATTCAGATATACTTTCATATCTTTCTAGGCATATATGTGCCTTTCAGTTGACAGAATGACCAAACTTATTAATTTTAGTGATATTTTTAGTGGAAAAATGTATACCTTTATTCACACTTCCGTATTTTAACAATGCAATTACCTACTTTGGAATAAACTTACTCACTGTCTGTATGGATACAACTTTTCCAACTAGAAATATCACTAAATTGACATTACCCAAAAATGTTGAAATTTGAGTTAGTTATTCTGTCAACTGAAAGGCACAGAGACTGAAGTGTGGTTTATAAAAGCAGATGGAGTAACTAGATTTTTATTGTCTACCGTCGATATAATTAACAGACTTTTTGTAATTTTAATGGTCTTAATGATTTGTTATCTGTAAGCTTTAAGCTATAATTCCGTTAAAAGTGTACTTCAAAAATTTTATAATAGCCCAACATATCCAGAAAATGATTTCTATTCAAAGTAGAGTGGTAAATGAAAGTTGTGTGTGTTGCGCGCACCAGATTTTTTAATTATCAACTAGATTAATGTCAGTATGTGTAGTAAACAAATATATCTGTCTTTATTGCAAAAGCCACTGAGAGTCGAAACTTTGATAAGTTTTTGTTGCCATTCGCACGACTTTGTATTGATTTCTATACCATTCTGATCAGGCTGGGATTGCAAAGATTTATTACTTACATGGTAGTATTGCTCTAAAATAGGATTTTGCTGACACTTTTATTATGTTGTTGCTAAACATAAGTCAAAATCACGTATTTATATCTTCATACTTCATGAGTATTAGTGTTATACTCAAAATACCCAATATTTTTAAACTGTACCTAGATCACTCATTTTAACTGGCTTAGTTATAATGACTAATTATATATATTATATACAGTTATAATGACTAATAAATGAACTACTAATGTAACTTGTATCAAATGTATTTAATTTTAAATGACCCTTAAATTTGTATTTTAAATTTCTATCACATTAGGTATTCCTCCCTACATGATACCTTGACTGTGATTAATAAATTTCTATTATTCTTGTATTTCAAATACACAATTTTCAAAACAAATCATTGTTCATAATTTTTCAGAAAGCAGCTATAATTATTCAGGGTGCTGCTCGAGGTTTTTTAGTGAGGCGTTTAATGAAAACTCAAAAAATAAAAGATCTGAAAGTTATTATCAAGGAAGCAGTTCTTTGTGCTTGGAATTTATACGGCGAGCAAGCTGTCAGCCCTGCTGATGTTCAGCTTCATGAAAGGATAATACAGCAGGTATTTGGAAGAAATATATTAATGTTTTATATCTTATATGGCTTACTTTGAATTTTAATAGCTTGTGTAGTGTAGGGTATCAAATGAATTCTAAATTGTTACATTCAACTATTTAAAAAATGTTTATAATTGAATTTTTTTTTATTTTCTTCTTTTAAAATATAAAAAGTCTTAATTACAAAATTCTTGATTAAATTGGTTTCTTAGATCTTCTAGGCCTTATCAACATAATTTGAATAGGATATTTTATTTTAAAAATTTAAATTAAGAATTAAACATTTATTTTAAGAGAAATTTAAAACTTAAATGTTGCATATGAGCGAGCACTATTTGTTCTTCAAATTTTTATTTAAATAGAGGTCGTGTGTATTGCTTGTTTTGTGTAAATTTAGTCTATTTCCGTTTCATGTCAATATTCATCAAATTATAAGATTTCCGGGCATACTTTTCATTTCCATTGTATTATTATATTTTTAGTTCATCCCTGTTGAGGTTGCCAAATCTTTTACATTTTTCAGGTGGTTTTGGTAAATTACAACAATCAATTTAATAATGATTCTTGTTAGTAATTTACTATTTTAATTGTTATTTTAAATTAAAATCTTGCCAGAGCTCTTGTGGTTTACACTAATTACTCTACACCATTAACTTCACAATATTTTTATGATACTTGACAAAACAATGGAACCTTATGTTGGAAATATTAATTAATGTAGCTACCGCTATCATGTAACCATTGGTTCTTACTATTAATAGTTCAGTTCAACTCCAACTGTTTAAGTTGATGTATTGCTTTGTATAATAAATAGTTTTCCCCCTTATTACTATATTCCTTGCCACACCACTGCAACCATAACACTTTTACACTGATAACTGTTCACAACTAACTTTCTTTACAAAGATCCTTCTTCGTTAAGGACTCATTTTGAACAACAGACTGAATATTAACTAACAGCAGACCAAACTATAGATATAGTAACTACAAGCACTCACTAATTAATGTCCAAATAAAGAAGAATTTGTCTATCAAATCTCTCTATCCTTATTTACTGTGGAACCATGCCTTGACTGTTTAAGATGCTTAGGTGTCTCCTTCAAATGTTTTGAAATCTTGATTCAGTGCTATGTAGATTTTTGAATTCTCATTATTTTTAAAATACAAAACTATTACAATATTAAACTCAATGTTATAGATAATCCTTTTGAATTAAGTAAATTATTTTTGTTACTTAAAAGAGAAATGTACAAAAAATTTAATTTCAGTTAGATCGTATTATACTGATGATAATACATTCCGATTTTCTGAGACTAGCTCGAATTTCATCAAGTGATGAAAATTACTTGTTTAAATACACCAGTTTGTCATTTTAATTAATATAAACAGGATGGTGACCAATCTGGATAAAGTCAGGAAATTTTCAAAATAGGAAAAAGTTAGGGAGAAGTCAGATAATTTTTTTAGCACACAAATGTTTTTTTCAAATTGGAAATAAAAATACAGTGGATATCATAAACATTAATGACCTTGAAGGGATAAAATGGTTGCTATTTGACTGATACAGAAATAAATGTATTGTTTGTCCCCATCTAATACAAACTTCACAATCATTAATTCTAAACAAGAATTTTGAAATAGATTTACCTAAAGTGAAAAGTACTGTGAGGATCTTTGGTCCTACACAGGCAGTTACTGGTTGAGAGGTATTTTGGCAATAACAAAAATCTTCATGGAACCCAAAATGGAAAAATTACTACAGAGAATAAAATTAGATAGCAGAAACTGTGGTATAAGACCTTGGCCTTATATAGTTTTTTTGCAATGGAGATATTTAAGAAAGTTGGTCTGAATGTGAAAATGCATATTTTTAAAGCGGTATATCTACCAACCCTTATATATGGGAGTGAAAGCTGGGTCCCATTAACCAAACACCTTAGCATAGTTATTGCTAGTGAAATAAAATATCTTCGAAGGGTAGCCGGCAGAACCAGGAGAGACCGGATCAGGAATGAAAAAACAAGAGACAACCTAGGCACTGTCTCACTAAAGGATTCTATAGAAAGGAGGCAGCTGAGATGGTTCGGGCATGTATGCCGAATGAATGAAGACCGTGACCCACGAAAATTCATGGAGGCGAGACCTGTAGGAAAGCGCCCAAGAGGAAGACCCAGATTGTCGTGGATGGACTACATCTCCCAGATCTGGCAGAAAAGAGGTATGAGGATAGGGGATATGAGGGCTCTAGCTCGTGACTGAAATGCTTGTGATGCATGGATTGAGGCACCTCCACGCTGAAAGGAACAAAGGAGGTAGAGAAAGAAGAAGAAGATCTGAATGGTTAGGTCAGGAAACAACTATAAAGGAACTTTAGTCTCAAATATTCTTTCCCAAAGTTTTGTTATGACTAGATAACACCACTTTGTTATTACCGTTTTGCTATTTAAATTCGCCAAACTGAAAAGAGTATAGAGAATTTATGGGCTTGTAGTGTTACTTTGTTGTATGCTGATGTGGTAAATAGTTGCCCAAGTACTATTAAATGTCAATCTGTGTCATTTTAATGGCATAACATTTGCATGTTGAATGTTTTATTTAATTTTAGTTTGCTACTTTTTCTTTTTAAATAAATTTATTTATATTTTTGTCATGATTTGGATTGTTGTTAATCGATTGGCGCACTATTAGGTAACTGCTGCATGTTATGAATTGCATTCCATTTTCTTTAATTGGTCTACAACGGACAGGATGGCTTTGATTAGATCTGACAGAGAAAAGTTGAAGTATCCAAAACCGTATGTAATTTCTATTAATAAACTTTTTTTTTATAAATGCTTTTTAGAAGATCTTAGTTATTTATTTATTATTTATGTAGGTGGTTGGCATTATTCCAGTAAATCTTTATCATATAATTATTAGATTAATTTTATTTATATATTCTGATTACACCTGTTTAATAATTTTGTATCATTTATTATTTAATAACTGAAGATGATGAGGTAAAAAAATTGTTTCATGAAATATAAATAAATATATATATTTCTTTCTTTTTTTTATTTGGAAGAAAAAAAATTATAGCAACAATGTGACAGATAGTAACAAAATAAAAATAGTATTTTACTGAGAAGCTTTGAACTTGTTCTACCAAGGTTTCCCTCTGTTTCTCACAGAATAACATCATGTTGATTATTTTCTAATTCTATTCTACTTACCCTTTTTGTTTTAAAAATATGTTAATCATAATTTTTTTATTATTTGATCATGAATCAAATTGTAGCACTTTTCTTTAAATAACAGTTCAAGCTTCTTTAGGATGTAATGATAAAAAAGAAAGACATATTTTTGGAAATCAAAATTGTTAAAAAATAAACCACAGTTGGAAACAAAAATTAACTTCAAAGTGTCTTCGAACTTTTTGACCAACAGGCCAAGATCTCCATTCAGGCCGCATTGAGACCTCCGCTAACTCTTACGGACCCTGGCTGGTAATGAAAAAAAAAAATAGCTTGTTCTTTAAATGACACTTTAGTTGCTAAATGAACTTTCTAAAAGAAAAAATCTCATGCTATAAATGATGTAGTTACCTCGTGTATGAGTTTTTCGCTAAATTTCACATTTTTTAAAAATTGTGTTTAAAATGTTACCACTTAATCAAAGAAGCTTTTATGCGTCGGATTGGAGGTACTTGCTGGCCATATTTTGGAGATCCTTGTTTTAAATTATTCATTTAGGCAAATTTATTGCTAAATTTTAGTCACTAACAAGCTTCAGAATAATATTATTATAACATCAAAAATAATTTGTACTGATGTATCTTCGTTATGGCAATCCCTACAAAGTTAGTCTGTTATCACTGTTTGAAGGATGTGATGTTTAACTAGTGCACCTATAATAACTAGACTTACAGTAAATTGTCATTGCAGTAAATATTGAAATTAAAAATTTGACATTTTTTCTCAAAACTTACTTGAATTAGATATTCAAGCAAAGAAATTCATATTGGTGCACTCTTCTTCTGAATGAAAGTTTTTTTGCTTCACCTTATTATTTTTTTTTTTCAATGAAGCTTTGTCCTAGTCCCTATTTCTTTTTTTCTGTTATACTAGTGGTTAATTAATAATTTTAGTTTTGAATTATTATAGTTCATGTTTTATTATAGTTTTATTTTTGTATATATATTTTATTTATTTTTCATAATATTTTACATCTAATATTATAAATTCTTTTCTCTCTAACTATGTTGATTAAAAATTTTTCTTAAAATTTTGAGGTACTAAAAAGCTGCAGGAATAATTAGTCAGATTGTTAATGGGTCCAAAATTATTGGTCCATGCAGCGCATGCAGTTTTAGGGGATGGCATTCCAGGCAATAAAAAAAAATATATGTGTATGAGGATAATTAATTTTAACTTACTAATAAAGCAATTGACTATGAATATTAGAGCCATATTGAATGATGTACAGTTAAAGTATTACACATTATAAAATAGCTTAAGACATTTTTTTAGGAAAAATGAGATTGCCTAGGGGTGTCAAACATCTAAACCTGGCATTGGGTGCACTTTCTGTTGTGATCACAACATTAGGATTTATTGCATTTTTTTGTTTCATTTATCTCTGTATTTTGTTAGAAATTATTCATTAAAAAAAAAATGTTATAAGATACATAATGATCTCCATGACATTGTTGACTCATATTCACATTTTTTTCTATTGTATTTTTCAAATATTCCTGTAAATTTTGTGGATATTTTTCCACATTTTTATAATGAAACATTCTGAATAGTTAAATTCTGGGTCTTTTGATGTCATTTAATGATGTACATTGAAAGAGCCTGTTAAGTGTTTCCACCATACTTTCTATTAATTCCTGTAGTTGCTGCTTCTAATCATGTTAGATTTCAAAATGATCTTGAAATGTTTATTATGTTTGGTTCATTCAATATTTCATATTCCTTTCTATTCTTCTAAACCCTCCTTTTTTTTTCTCTTTTTTTTAGGAAGTTTAGGCCTTCCAGGAATAGAAAAGTGAGTGAATCTAATTCAGTTAGCAGTAGTACCAGATCAAAATCTGCGTCTTCTGTATCTGTAATGTCAAGAAGTAAGAACAATAATATTTATATCTTCTATTTTAGTTTTAATATAATAAATATGAAAATATGCAAATTACATACATAATAGTTAAATAATCAATGTTCTATAATTCAATTGTTTCGAGTTCTTTTCACAATACTGAGATGATTTTTGTCCTATGATGATTGGTAAACTTTCCTATTTATCCTTATTAAGGAAAACTAGTAGGTAACTGTAAATCTGCCAATTTAACTGTAGTTAGAGAAACTCTTCATTCTTCAATTTCTGGCGCTTAACTTACATAAGTATTTACACCGATTCAATTCCCGCCTGGGTGGACCACCAATATGAATCTTGACTCTGTTAAGAATAGATTTGGTTGTACCACTAGGACAAGCCCTCTATATCTGCCAGAAATGGTGAGATAGGGGGTAATCGAAAAAGGAAAAAAGTATTTGACCTGACTACAGTTATTGGCATCCCAGCTCAAATAGTCTGCCTACTACAAAATATTTCCTATTTGTTGTTTTATTTTGTACTTCTTTTAATTTTACATTTTGTTTGAATAAAGTTTATTTTTATATTACAAATTTAACTACTAAACAATTAAACAAGTTTTTATTAATCTTCATTGAAAAAAAAAATTGTCACTTAAAAAAATTTTAATCTTAGTTTTCAACAAATTTATATGAGTCCATATGACCAAGTCTTGCAAAATAGTTTGTCTCCAAGCTTGTGTCTGGCACAAAAAAGAAAAGTTGTTTAAGACAGAAATTATATAATTAAGGTATATGTATTTATTTATTTATTCTTGGCGCTACGGTCCTGTAAGAACCTGGGCCTCTCTTATGATCCTTCGCCACTTTCCTCTATCCCGAGCGAGCATTTTCCATCTTCGAATTCCCATCCTTTTCAGGCTATCCTCTACCTGGTCCAGACATCTCAGGCGTGGTCTTCCTCTTCAACATTTTCCAGCAGGCCGATTCTGTAGCAAGCGTTTGGGAATCATGTCTCGGGGCATACGCGCCACATGGTCCAACCATCTGATCTGATTTCCTCTCACAATTGAGATCAAATCCGGCCTCGCATACATTTCATATAGTTCTTTATTAGTGCGGATTTTCCATTGTCCCTGTTTTCACACCGGGCCATAGATTCTGCAGAGAAGCCTTCTCTCCCATGCGAGTAGCCTTTTTTCCGATGCTTTAGAGATCACTCAAGTCTCAGAGCCATAGGTGACGACGGGTCTGATGACTTTCTCATACACCATGATCTTTGTTCTGTGAGAAAGTGATCTGTAATTCAATATTTTTCGCAATGCAAAACAGCACCTATTCCCAGCAGTCATCCTTGCTTTTAACTCTTCTGCCATTTCATTGTTTTCTGTGATTAGTGCTCCCAGGTATATGTATAGTAACGGTATATTTTTTAAATATATGTCTGGTATGTTAAGCATATTTTTCATTAAAATTGGTCTATCAAAAGTGCCAATTTATATCTTTGATTTTACACATTTTTACTATTTTCTAGAAAACGGCTCTATCAATTTTAAATAAAATCCTTATATTGATGTAAAAATAAATGGTCATTAATATCAAGTAGGTCCCGAACTCATGGAAATAGTCTGACAAGGCTTAAATGTCGAATTTTCCAAATTTCTTCCTTTAAAATAACTTTAATTTTGATTTTTAGCAATAGTTAAGATCTTTTATTTTCAGTAGTAAAACAAAATGTATAAATATGAACTATGTGAGTTACACTTTAATATTTAATGATATTTGTTTGGTTCAGGCAGTACTCCTGGAGAACTGTCCCGTCCTACGACACTACCGACCAGTTTAAGAAAAAATGTCAAGTATCAGGCTTGGAGGTCAGTATATGGAAATAAAAATATATTGGATTTTTTTTTCTTTAAATATTGAATATTTTATTTTTTTAATGATTGTTTTTTTTTTACCTTTTAAATAACAGCTGTTATTCAGTTAATTGAATGCAATTGGTCATATAATCACACATATGAAACAGGCAGGTAAAATAAAAATTCATTGTTGAAAAAACTGCAGAACACAGCTTGTTTATAATCAGCGTTCTTCATTTAAAATTAAAACTTATTTTAGGTGTACATTTTGTCCTAAGTATATATTATACGGTAAAATTCATAATAAAACTTTTGAAAGGTAATTAAATTACCAACTAAACAAAAAAAAATTCATCAGAATTGAACCAGTATTAGCAATGATAGCTGAGTAAAAAAAAAAAACGTCGTTTAGCATGTTTTTCGAAAGGTAATGAAATTCCCTACAAAACTATATAAAAATCGTTCATTTTGGACAAGTAATAACGAAGTTACAGCTATTCAATTTCCAATGTAAGATTATGGGTTCATATCCTGATGTCAGAAATGGTGAATGAGAGAAAAAAGATGACTAAGTGAAAGAAAGGAAATCTGTTGCCCGCATCACACAAGCTTCACCATTTCCTCTACTTTTAACAGAAATTATTGTTTGACAATACTAAGCTATTCCAATAAGTTTTTGATCAGCAATATTAGAGAGTATTAAAATTTTTACACTGATCTACCTTAAGCCAGTTTACATTGCTTTAATTTATCAAATAAATCGTACTCAAATCTTCTCTTTGATCAATTTTCAGGAAAAAAATGTAGTTTGATTTTTTTTTTTTTTTTTTTCATGAACTTATGTAAAGATATAAAAACTTTTCTGAAATAGGTAGGAAAGTCGTGTGAGTGGACACACCAGATGTTTTTTTTAAGCAATAGATGGTATGATGTTTTATTTTACACCTTTAAAAACCTACTAACCTTTCAGCTAGGTTTTATTATGAATAAAATAGTCGGTGATTGAAAGAAAGTATTTAAATAATTAAGTTGGTAATTTTTAATAAATTATACAATAATGTATAAACAAATAATTGAAGAGATATATTAGCTCTGAATATGGTTACACTTTTATAATATTAGATATTTTTATTTATTTCATTTTATTTTATAACTACAATTTAATAAATTATGATTGATATCAAATATTCTAAAGAATGCTGTAGAAATTTGGAAAAATCTTGAGTGCTCTATGAAAATGTAAGAACTTCCAGTAACAACTCAACTATACATGTTGTATATATTTCAAATGCATATTTATTGAATAAACATCCTTATATAATTGTCCGCCTTTTTGAGAGACTGAGACTGAGTTCTTAAATTTTTTTCTTGTTTTTTCTTTAATTTGAAGGACTCCTTATCTTAGATTGATTTCTTGATGGACTGTTATAAACGTATATATATATATATATACATATAATGTTTTGGATATTAATAATAATCATTTTAAAATGGAATTTCAGTTTCAATATACATTTCAGTCAAGTTATGAAATTTCAGATGCAATATATGTAAGTTGATACATCATTCTTATTTTCAATAAAATCTAGTTAACAATATTCATTTAAATACATTTTATTGTTAATTGTCTGTTTAAAGTTGGTTTACATATTTTTTATTAATTTTTTATTAGTCCTGAATGACTATAAAAAACAACCTGCATTGAAGATGTTAATTTACAATCAGGTTATTAATACTTTTATCTATATTGACTCAAATGCAATAAAAAATTATCTCTTGAATCATATTCGAAACGTTTCAGGTCTCATCTTCAGTGTCGTCTATGATTTTCTTTTTAATGATCTCAGTTTCAACCAACTCTACGGGTATTAACCAAACATTTTTGTAATTTTATTTATTAGGTAGGTAGTCTCATTGGTTTAAAACAAATTTCTGTTATAAAAAAATGTTTATTTAAATTACATGAACTATTATTTTTCAAGAAGTGAGTTTCGGCTTCTGTTATTATTATTCTGTTTTTATTTTAAAAAAATAGTTGGTTTAGATTACCATATTTGTTCTTTCTGTATGTTTTTGTAGTCCTTCAAATTGGTTTGTTCTTCCCAAATGTACATTTAATCCAGAAGATACATAATGTTTATTTTCAATGTTTTCATTTTATTTTTTTATTATTGATTTATTTTACTTTTAGTGGTAAAACTAATTGGTACTTTATTTCTCAGCAGGTGATTCCTGATGTTGGCGATAATTATGGATACCATTTTGTGATTGATTGAAATTAAAACCAAAGCACTGTTGTTTTTATTTTTTTATTTTTGTAAGTTTTTTAATTTAATAGTCACCAATAAAATGTGCCTTTATTAATACATATCATGTATTTAGAGTAGAATAATAACATTGTTCACTAGTTTGGCTTAAAGCCACCTTTAGATTATATTTTTTAACAAATAATTTAATTATTTTGCATGTTCATCTCTAATGTTTGTCAAATACATATATTTTTGCAAGTTTATTTAAATTCATTTCCTTTTATTCTCTTGGAAGTTCTACCATCTAATTATTTATCTCGTTGTATGTAATTAAATATCAATTTCTTGGATAACATAAATTAGACATATAGATTTTCTTTATTTTTTTTCTGTAGTCTTCTCTCTGGAAACCGTTACTTTCTTTAATATCTTTTTTTGTCATCTCTAGTTTGGTTGCCCACTCTCAGTCCCTCAGTAAAAGAGTTCTTTTAGCCATTTTTACTTTAGCTGTTTCATTTGATGTCGAAAAAGAATCATGACAAATTCCTTAATCGGCTTAACATTTAAAAGAAATCATCAGTTTGTAGTATAATAGTTTTTCTTATTTCAGTTGCTATAAAGAGTCATTGAGTTTTTTTTTTTTTTTTTTTTTTTGTTTCAGCTCCTACGTTCAAATTCAAAAGATTCTTGAATTTGTTCATTTACAGAAATATTTCTCATATTAATTATATAAAATGAAAGATATGTTCAGAATTACAACAAAATCTATTTCTAAGAAATAATTTTTGTTGTTTAGTGCAATAGATTCAAAGAAATATAATGTGTTTTTTTTTTCAGTTTTACTGGGTACATACATACTATTATTAGTGACTGATATTGCTGTTGTGTATGGCAGGGGTCTCCAAAATTTTTGGCCTGCGGTCCACATTGAGACCTCGACTAAGTTCCACGGTTCTCATTAAGGCTTTCAACCAAGCTCCATGGGCCATGGGTTGTAATGAAAAAAAAAATGTTCTATAAATGTCACTTGTTGCCACATCCGTTCCGTGGGCCATAGTTTGGTGACCCTTGATGTATAGGAACAATTTAAGTAATTAGATAAAAAAATTATATGATGATAAGCAACAAAAGTTATTCCCTACCTGAATGACAGTGCATTATGTGCCACCTAAACCTAATGTATTTAGTGATTCTTTTTATTTATGGATAAAGTTGATTAAGTCTGTGAGAGTTCTTAATATTTTTATATTGTGTGGCACAATCAAATATCATTAGTATTAAGGCATGCCACACTGTTACTCTCCGCCTCCTTCCCTATATTCGGTGAACCTCCTAAATAATTATTTTTACTTTCACTTACCTATATATGATAATAACTAGTTATAATTATCAATGCTTAGAAGAAATATGGACAAAGTAAGTAATTTTTTTTTACCAATGACAGTCTATAATCTTTTTACTACTTTATTCCCAGAGTAATTTTCAGTGTCCATGCACCATATTCTTCTCTATAATTATAACAAATCATAAATTAATTACATTAACAATTCATGTATTACGTAATTTCTGATTGTCATGCAACTATTATTATTGTCATGCTATTATGTGCCGTACCTTTTTCTAGAGAGTTATGGCAGTAAATGCTCTGCACTCAGTAAGAAAGCGATGAAGATGTCATGTAATACAATTGTATTCAATAAACACAAATTTTCACCTAAAATCATTGCAAATTGATATGAGACGAAGAACGAGAACTAGTCTAATCTTTTTTGTTTCTTAAGTAGAAAAATGTATGGCATGATGTGATTATAGTTGCATTGCAATTAGAAATTTTGTAATACATGATTTGTTATTATTATTAATTTATGATGTGTTATAATTATAGAGATGAATAATTTGGGAATAAAGTAGTAAAAAGATTATAGAGACTGTCATTGGTAAAAAATCTTGATCTACTATGAACATATTAAAAATTCTAAAATTACTTAATCATATCCTTTATATAATTTAGGAATTTTCTCAGCCAGCAAAATCTTTTTCATCTAGTTGTTTAATAACAATTTATAGTGATTGTCTTAACAATAGATTTTATTAGAGTTGAAATTTCTATTTGCTATTAAATGGGAGAGGTGTAGATTCACCTAATTATTGTTTCTCCGTATTCTGAAAAATAAATATCAACTCAGCAGAAACTTTGTTGGAAAGGACTTAGTAGAATTGATGACATGAAGATTGTAGCCTTAGCCCAAACTTGATTAAAAGTTTCTTGGCTAACAATCAGTTCATTACATTAGTTCTCATTAAACACTTCATATCCAATAATTATTATTTCTAATAATGTACCAAAGAAAGTATTGAATATTTGTCACAGGCTTATCTGATGCTCAATGATTGCTATTAACTGATCAAGTTGGTGATAATTCTAGCTCAGTGATTAAAGCTGTGGTCAGTAATATGTAGCCTCTGTTACAAGATATTGATTATTTAAAGATATTGTTTTAGTATTGTCAAGCTACTCCCCATTAAAGTAGCATTATGTTACTATGCTATTTCAGTAATATATGTAAACTATTTAACTATTCTCAAAGTACATTTATATTGATATTTGCTGGTTTCGTGAATATATAACTCATAAGATGAATTCACAAATCAAAATCCCAGCTTTATGGGAAATATAACTCATCTCTCTCTTTTTTTTCTTTTATGTGTTAAGAATTAATTTAATTAAACCTAAGCAAGTGGAAGGTGGCTTTCATTTTATAATAACTATATACCCAAACCACTTCAGGTTCAGATTATTTATGGATTCACACTATCCCACATTGCATATATGTCAAAATTCTAAAATTGGACTTTTTTCCTCCCACATATTCTCTGCTAGACTATATTTTCAAATTCTTGTTGGCTTTTTTCTTCCCACAATGCAGCTATTGGCATAGGAGTGTCCATAGGGGAGGAGGTGCTAAATAGGAGCGAATTATATGTTCTCTTTCTTAATTATAACAAATACCGTATGCAGCTACTAAATGTAAGCACACATCTAGAAAAAAATATTTCTAAAATCATAATTGTTACTGTTTTTCTTTTATTCATTATTATTTTTTTTTAACAGGCCTTCAACGACCACTTTTTATGTAGTTTCATTCTTTTTCTTCCAGAATAATTACCATTATAAACAAAAAGAAATTAAATCCTGAATATGTTACCTTGTGAATGGCGAACTTTTTAACTGAAATTTAACAAAATTCACTGCTCCCATACTATTATTATTTAAATGAAACGTCGGCAAAAAAAATAAATAATACTATTTGTATAATTTAATATTTATTTGACCGCACCCTCCCCTCCCCCCCCCCTCCTGATCTACTCCTCATATTATTATTTAACTATTTTAATAATTTAAATAACCATAGAAGTAAATAAAATACAAACAATTATAATAAAAATTCAGTATTAATTTTTATAGTTGATTTAATTACATATTTTATTTTCATATATGGCGTCACCCATTTTAAAAACCAAAGAGATAAAAATGAGCGATCAGAGGCGCCCAGAAGGGGGTTTCGTGACGTAAGTTGCATCATCAAAATTTTTGAGAGGGCATATTTTGACGGGTTTTTGAATTTTTGTGGGGGGCAAATTTCGACGGAGTTATGAATTTTCGGGGGAAAAAAAGTTATGAATTAAGAGACAAGGAGAAAAACACGGAACATACCGCAGCAAGTGTAATTGTATATGATTTACGATTTTTCTAATTTTATCTTAGCTTGCTCTTTTTTTTAGGAAAAGTGAGCAATAAAATATCTTGGGAGGTGGGATAGAGGGAGGGGGGGGGGGAGGGTTGGTTTGGTTATGTTCTTGCGCCATCGATCTTGGAGGGGATGGGCACCCCTGTGAGCGATCGCGTTAAAGAGCATTTGGAAATGTCTAATAAGAAAAACATTGATTCCGATTTTTGTTTTAAATTTTTCTGTGGATCAACTTATTATATGTATTCGCAAAATATTTAATGTTAACCAACGTATCTGCTATTCAAGTATAGATCTCGAGCAACTACGCTTTATACCAAGAATTTCATCAACTTTCCATTTTTGGATTTTATTCGGAATCGCTGTGATAAGTGAGGCAGGAAATGATTTGGAAACCGGCTGTGAACGATAAGGTGACAGTTTGTGTGGGTGCGTGTTATCAGGGAGCGTCATTCAGTTCTTTTACGTCAAATCCCATTCAGTTCTCCAAGCTAGATATTCATTTCGTGAAAGCAAAGCACAAAAGGTTGATAAAAACTTGAGTTTATGATTAGCTATAGAAAGCGATAAATATATTCTTTTGTTTATTCTGTCGTATAAATCACTTTTCCGGCTCTAAGAAGTGATATGGATTTGGAATAACAAGCAGTCAAAAGAAAAAGTATTTTATGGTGACGGGACGAATATCAATATCGATTCTTAAATTCTAAATTCAACTGTAATAAAAGTGATGGAAAAATATTAAGTAGTTTTAAAACTTTGACGGAAGTAAATTAATAGTTGAGACCGGTCTATAGCTCAATGATATCGTTCTAAAATAACAGTTCTGGTTTATTGATTTGTTTTATACGATATCTGCTAGCGATGAATGCTAGTTTTCGATCTCAATAGACCGGATTATTTGAAAAATCGCAAATTTGTTGGTTGTATTTTCAGTTTTACGGTATAAGTGGTAACCAAAGCCAGGACCCAAAAATCGACCTCATCGTCGGCGAAGGTTTGATTGTAAATTACGAAAGTGTATGTTATTCTGAGTAAAAAGAACCTTGTCTGCAGTTCCAGAGCCGCTGCTTTCAAAAATGGCGGCTGATTAAAAGAATATTAGGCCAATAATTTAAGAATATAAGGCCAGTAATTTGAGGATCGAAACGGGAAATCCATTGCGAAAAATGTGAGAAAAGTTTTTATTTTTTTATCTAACATATGTATGGGTTTAAACGTGTAAAAAACAAAATTGCTAACGCGGTCCACCAAGGAACAACTTTTTACAGCCAAAAAAAGTCAGAACTCCTAAACGATGCATCAACGAAAAATGTACTCTTTAATAAATTAAAGAACGTTAAATTGTGCGTCCAACAAGTACATGAACTTTATAATTTGGATACGTGGTAAGGTATAAAACCACGTTCAACCAACGCTGATTTTTACCAAATTTGACAAAACTGAGACAAATTATTATTATTATGTATATGTATATATATATAAACAAAAAAACGAAAAAAAATTCTCCAAGA